CGACTCTCAAGGTTTCAACGACTACAGTCAATGGTGCAGCATTTTTCGACTAAGTGGTCCAAGGCATAGGTATCTTCCTTACAAGCTAGAATCAAGTGGAAGACCAGTTTTCCTTAGTTAATTAACGTTGTCGCTATGGTTCTCATTAAAGAAGTCCTACTACTAAGATGGAAATGATTACGAATTTCCCAACTACATACTGGTGATGATCAAGATATTCGTGCCACTGTGAGGACTTCTACCATTGAATTAAAAAGTTCCGTGACAAAAGTCTTTTTTCTTTTAATCTAATATAACAGAGTCTTTAGTTAACGGGTTTGAAGGTTATGACTGACCCCACAAGACTTTCCTTGATTATTAAGCCAGTGCCGAATTGATGCTCGTACTAACCTCCGCTGAAAAATACTACAGATTTATTAGCTGTATGACAGCTATGTCCATGTTTCCAGATTCAAGTTGTTTGACTTCTCTTTGAGTTAGGACCAGCTGATATAGTTTCACTACTTTTCAGGTTCCTATATTCACTGTGTTTTTGTCGTTTTAAAAGATTCGTCCTGATCTCCGATGCACGTTGAAATAATAAGCAAAACCTAGGATATAAGGTTTTAATCAACATAAAATTGTACACATAATATTAACAAAACAATAAAATTAGCATTGCAGTGACAGTGACTTCTGTCAAACACTGACAGCATAAAGTTGCCTACAATATTAGAAGTCTACAGCCAGGCAGTACCAAGGAGGTTAATATCACATCATTCTCCCACACTATAATCTTCCAGATACCGTGGTAAATGACGAATTCTTTCAGATCTTCTAGGTAGTGCTGAAGAAGGCGATAAGCTCTGTTCAGAACTCATTGGGGGTTCTTCAAGAAGTACTGAATCCAGTGGAGGGGGAGATGTAGATGTATCTGCCAGGGGCTGCATGTTTTGCGTGGTTGTATTGGATGAGGAATCATTAAGATTCGAATGTAACTCACGTGGGTCTTCTACGAACACTGATTCTTGACCTGGTATATCTAGTATTTCCCCTTCACCTCGTCCACTCGGAGCCAGATGACGATTAGACACTGTGGTTTCCCGTCCGTCTTTCAGTTTAACAAAAGAGTATTCAGGATTTGCCTCTATTACCTCCACTTCCTCTACGATAGGCTGGTACTTGTTTTTCCGATCGAACCTTTTCATCAAGACATGCCCAGATTTTGCTAGCCATGACGGTATTGTATTCCCATTTGGAGATCGACGTGTGTGCACGAACATCCTTTCATGCGGCGTACAGTTAGTTGCGGTACACAACAGTGAACGAATGGAATGCAGCACGACAGGTAGGTATTGTTCCCAAGTCTCAATAGGTGCTTCATGTGATTCACAGGCCAGTTGAATAGCTTTCCAGACAGTAGAATTCAACTTTTCCACTTGACCATTTCCTTGAGGATTATAAGCAGTGGTTCTACTTGTTGCGATTCCTCTGGAGTTGAGAAACTCTTTGACTTCAGCTGATAGAAATTGAGTCCCTCTATCCGAATGAATGTATGCAGGCATTCCAAACATCATGAATAAGTTATTTAAATTCTTGATTACTGTTTTGGCACTAATGTCACTGCATGGGAAAGCAAATGGGAATCTGGAATACTCATCTATTACCGTAAGAATATAACGATTATTGGTATTTGAAGGCACTGGTCCTTTAAAGTCAATACTAAGGCGTTCGAAGGGAGATGTGGCTTTTATAAGCTTTGGAAAAAACCCCTCATTCTTAAAGTACCTCGGCTTGATTTTAGCACATACCCCACAGTCACGAGTCATAGTCTTGACTTCATTGAGAGAGAAAGGCAAATTCTTCGATTTTATCCAATGAAACATACGTGTTACCCCTGGATGACAAAGTGCATTGTGAAGTGACTTGAGTTTTGATGCACCTGCCGCCGTGGTAGTAGCACAAGAACAGATGCGCGATAAAGCATCCGCTGCTTGGTTGTCTTTTCCTGGTCGATACACAATGTCATATTTATAAGGTGCCAATTCAAGTCGCCATCTTTGTATTTTCTCATTTTTAATCTTGCTGGAATGCTTCGTGTTAAACATAAATGTTACAGACTTTTGATCAGTAATAATTGTGAAAGGCTTTCCTATAAGAAAATGGCGCCACTTCTTTAGAGATTCAACAATAGCGTATGCTTCTTTCTCCACAGCAGAATGGTTCAGCTCACTAGAGTTAAGTGATCTTGAAAAGAAAGCAACGGGTCTGGAATCCTGACTCAAGGTAGCAGCAATTGAGTGTTCTGAAGCATCAGTTTCAACAACAAATGGCATATTTTCGTTGATAGCGTGAACAGATGACTTTGCAACTATAGATTTCAGATTTTCAAAACAAGATAAAGCATCTTCGTTCAACGGAAAATTGTTGACATGAGCTAATGTGTGGACCCTTTCGGAAAATTTGGGAATCCATTTTGAATAATGGGCAAACATACCTAATACCCTTCTTAGAGATGCAGTGTCGTTCGGTGGAGGCATTTTTAATAAGGGTTGTAGTCTGCTAGCATCGGGCTTTATGACATGGTTTGGTCCTATAGTATAACCAAGTAAGTTTATTACTGTTTGATTGAATTTGCTCTTGGTTTTGTTTAGTGTCAAGCCATATTTGTCTGTGGCCTTCAGAAAGTTCTCAAGATTTTTGTCATGTTCTACCTTCGTCTTACCACAAACAGTTATGTCATCAAGGTAGGCATATATACCTTCAAGGTTTTCTGTACGTATAAGCCAGTCGATTGTTCTTTGGAAACTGGCTACACCATTAGTAACACCAAACGGAATGCGACAAAATTGATACAGTTTCCCAGTGGCTTCAAAAGCTGTGTACATCTTTTCATGTGGAAGTATTGGAACCTGATGGTATGCACTTTGGAAATCTATTGCACTAAAGACAGTGAATTGTGATACATTGGACACCATTTCCTCGATATTTGGCAGTGGATAGGCATCAAGTTGAGTGAATCGATTAATTGTTTGAGAATAATCAATGACAAGTCGCTTCTTGTGAGTTTCGTTTTTGGTGATAAGCACCTGTGCTCTCCAAGGGGACTGACTTTCTTCAATAATTCCATCATTTAAAAGCTTCTTTATCTCATTTTTAATAAAAATCTGATCTTCAGCACTATACCTGCGCGATTTTACTGCGATAGGTTTACAATTTGAAGTCAGGTTACAAAATAAAGGAACTGCAGGTACTGAGGCTTCAACTACACTACATACCTTGAATACTTCTTTAGGTCCTCCAAATTCAAATTCTAGACTTGAGTGGTTAGATAGAACATCATGACCAATTATTATATCAGCACAGAGATTTTTAACTATAAGTAAATTAATGTTGTCGTATGAGTGGTCACCAATTGTAATATTTTGAGTAGTCACACCTTTAACTTCAGAGGTGTGTGATAATGAGGCCATAGAAACAGTCTGAGTACAAGGCTTCCTAGGGAGTTTGCACAGATTAGCAAAGTCTTCATTAATAAAACTGACAGAGCTACCAGTATCTATAAGAGCATCAGCACGAAGGCCTTTTATAGATGCAGGCACTATAGCTTTCTTCAATGAAGCAGGAGTAGCAGCAATAATGCAGGCTGTGCAGTTATCATAGCCTTCAAATATGTTGGCAGATGCACTAGTGCTCTTGGAGCGGCAAACTTTTGCAAAGTGTCCCTTTTTATTACAGGATTTGCAGATGGATTCTCGAGCAGGACAGTTCTTTCTTGAATGTATTGGCCCACCACAGAAAAAACATTTGTGTCCTGACCTAGAAGAGTTAGTAGAGTTGGTAGCAGCTGTCACAGTGACACATTCAGAATTTGTTGGAGAGCTCTGTGACTCAAATTGATAGGTACCAGGTAGAGCACTAAGTGTTGAATGTTGATTTGAATAAACCTGAGAGTTGAGTTCTGCCATTTCCATTGAAATAGCTATATTGTAAGTTTCTTCTAAAGTTAGTGTTAAACTCTCTAACAATCTCGATCGTATCTTTGTGGATGACATTCCAGCGATAAAAGCTCCACGGATTGTATCATTTTTATTAGTATCAGCATCTACAGCAGTAAAATTGCAGTCTTTTGCTAACTGTTTTAAAGATTGCATGTAAGAATCGATAGACTCATCTGTCTGTTGTCGTCTAGTGTTTAGTATGTGACGAGCATGAATGGTATTGTTTGGTTTGACGTATATTTTGTCAAGAGTTTGAATGGATTCGTTGTAAGTGTTACAATCGCTTATATATGTATAAACTCGTGGAGAAATATGATTTATTAATAGTTGTAGCTTAGTATCATTAATATCTAGGGGTGGTACAGCAGCACCATCAGCAGAAACAGCGGGAGTGACAATATGGGCAGCTAAAAAGTTCATAAAAGTTCTTTTCCAATGGTCCCATTCCTTTGCTGTTGATTTCACAGATGGATCCCCGTCGAACCTCTCGGGTCTTAGATACTTCTCCATTTATGTTGATTAAATTGAAATAATAAGCAAAACCTAGGATATAAGGTTTTAATCAACATAAAATTGTACACATAATATTAACAAAACAATAAAATTAGCATTGCAGTGACAGTGACTTCTGTCAAACACTGACAGCATAAAGTTGCCTACAATATTAGAAGTCTACAGCCAGGCAGTACCAAGGAGGTTAATATCACATCACACGTGTTTGGTTTTCATAATTGGATTTTTTTTTACAAAAAGCTGCTTTTCTAATTCTGGAGTTGGGACCAGAATTGGCGCAGTTTATTAAATACTTCAGATAAAGTTAATTTAGAACACATTATTAAATAAAAACTGTTTTGTTTATTAAACTTAAAACTGGACAAAAATAAATAATTATAAATATTTTAGCTAAATTAAATTATTTTGTTAACATTGGCACACAAAAGTCCAACGATATGATTATTATATCGTAAGAGTTATAGTCACAGATAAATATGGTTATGGTATTATATCGTTATGTCTTACAGACATTGACAGTGTATTGATAGTTGTCAAAATATTAAAAGAATGAGCTCAACTACTGAAACTATTCCTCAAGAAAATAAATCCAGCGATTTGGGTGCAACTGTATTAAACATTTCTAAAGAGATCAAATGGAAATTCTTGATAGTTTTGTCTGCAATGCCAAATTATATGTCTTGGAACGTAAGTCATTTCTTTGTAACACATATCTACTGAATTCTGTTAGTATATTAGTCTCTCATTGCTACATCAAGATTTGTACCCGCTGAGCGTAGTCGCATTATTCTCATCAGCGTCACCTCTGTGACATATATGTCTAGAGGGGTGATACCAATGATCAAATCCATGCAGCACTTGGTGTTGTTTTCATTGCACCTGTTATATTTAGGCAAGCCATCCGTTGAATATGGGTTAGTTTATTAATCGCTTTTGCCTGTAATACTTTTGGTACCCAAGCAATAGATCCGTAAGTTAGCATTGGCCTAATGATAGCAGTGACGATCCAAGTAATTACCCAGAGTAAAAGGCATCAAGTGCGTCCAACTGTTCGTCGACACTGCTCATAGGCAATATTGCTCTTTTAGCTCTACCATCTTAGTAGGAGTTCCATATTAACTTCCTGTCAAGGGTAATACCAAGGCATTTCACCTCGTTAGAAAAGTTTACACAGTAATTTAGAATTCTTGGGGTTATTAAGCTCTTGATTCTCCTTTTTCTGGTGAAAAAGAAGTCCCTCATCTCTGTCTTCTTAAGATTTATAGATCCTTAACCACGATTTAAACAGAAAGTGAAATGAATATGCAAAGAAAAACGAAAACCAGATTCAAAATTCAGACCACCAGAAAAAAAAAGAAAAATCCAATATTAACATGAAAATAAATTGAGGGCATAATTTTATAACTTTATCTACCTGTCAACAAATGTTACAGGGGTAATTTGCAATGTTACAGTAGATTAAAAGATCTTTACCAAGAAACAAAGTAACCTTGATGCTTTTTCAGGGAATTTATTGTTATATTTGATATTTATTACAAAATGTTAAATATTTAGTGATTTTACTAATGTTAATTTTTGTTTCAGATATTTATTTTGGCTACAACTGTCCTGAACTACATACTGGTCACCACAAATCTCTCTTTCCTCCCAACCGAATTAGTGGAATTTTTTCCGTTTTACGTAATTTTTGACGCCATATATCTATTTAATTTTCTGCTCCTCCTGGCCCAAAAAATATTTGATATCCCCAATGCTTTTTACACTGAAAAAACTATGTTTATTATTTTTGTTGTCGATTTCGTTTCTTTGGTGTCTCAAGTGATGCTAATAATACCATTTTTTACGGCCCACAACAGTTTTTTAGTTCTCAGTTTTAGAGTCATCACCTTTGTTAGACTCAGACATTTGTTAGTTTTTAATAAAGTTCTTCAAAGGTTGACAGAATACCGAGTGTTATGGTTTTTGGGACAATATATTACCACCGTTGTTATTATTATACATACTGCAATTTATTTATGGTTCTTAATCAGGTCTGAAGACAATTTTTATGACAAGGTGAGATTTTGATATTTTATATAGAAAAACAGAAACACGTAGAATTAAATAACGACATTTGTATTAGAAGTTATCAAATTTCAAACATTTCTTTTATCAATTAACGTACTACGATATCTTTCAGCTACCCAAATTTAAATCAGAAGAAGCTTCATCAAGCAATTCAAATTGGTATTTTTATCACATTTACGCTGCTGTCCAATTGTTAATTAATGTCGGATTTGGAGATGTATATCCAAAAAATATCAATGAAATATACTTTTTCTCCATTATTTTCTTAATTGGACAAGCTTTAACAGTTTACTTCATCTGTGTCGTTAGTTGGATTATCATAAATCAGAATTATTACAAGCTTAGCATTTATTATCAGGTAAATGTATTTAATTTATTACTAGAATAACCCAGAATATCATCACTGTATGTAGTAAATCGTACAGCATATCCAGATATTATGGTGAAATATCCAAACAAGCAAGCAAAGCACTACGTGCCGTTTTTTATTTTTTGTTTTTTTTTTTGGTCGGCTTTCGCCGGATTTTATTAGTGTTTTGTTAATTGTTTTGTTGTAATTTTTTATGTTTTTTGTTAGTTTTTTTTTGTAGGATGTCTATAGAAAAGGTTCTGTTGCGATTTCGTTGGTCCTTACCCCTTGGGGTCCACACAATGCAGCGATTTGCATTGTTTGTCGACTATTTAGAGCTACGAGCTATCTTCAATTGGTTTGTTTATTTTTCTCTCTGGGCTGTTTGTTTTCTTCCTGGTGATTGGTGAAATATCCAACGAATGATTGCGGGTATAAGCAATACCTTCCCGCACACTCTACCTATGGCTATCAGCTCCGGGCGAAGAAAGGGTAAATTAGTAAACTAAGTACTAACAAACGGAAGGGTACAATACTGTTATGTCCTGAACTGTGAAATTGGCATATGGATGCAGAAGGCGGGGAACTATTGCATTAAAATCTTATAGAGTACCCCTAGAGACACACATAGCAAAGGTGGACTAAGAAAATCATAGAATGGAGATTGGAGAATGGAGAATAACTTAATGGAATTAAAAAATATGTATATTCAAAGTACAAAAAGGTTTTAATAAAATAATTTACTACAAACGCTGTCAAAACAAAATTTACTACATTTGCTAGTAGGTGAATCAATCATTCTTATGCTATCTTTCTATGATATGATTCTATCAAAATTAAAAATCTATAAAACAGACGTGAATTGGTTTCTGTACTTCCCATGATCGTTGAAGTAGTGTTAGCATTGAGAACAAAGCTTCCCTTGTTCCCAATCCTTTCCTAAAACCAAATTGTTTATTTCCCATTGTGTCTTTACAATTCTGCTTGATTCTATTAAGAATTATCCTAAGAAGTAGCTTGAGAAAGTGACTCATGAGACTAATTAGTCTAAAGTCTTTACATAATGATGTTTTTTGGAAGTGGGATAAATGTTGACTCAAACCATATTTGTGGCAGTGTTCCAGTTTTGTATATGTGGTTATAAATGTTTCTTAGTTCTGAGACATTGTCGTCGTCTTAAAGTTTGAGACAGTCTGATGGATTTTAGTCAGGGCTTGGAGATTTCCCATTTTTGCTTTGTTTGATGGCTTTCTCTACTTCTGCTTTTAAAATACTGGGACCAGTATTCGTATAATTTGTGGTGTTGTGGTGGCCTCGTATCCAGGAAGAGCTCTTTTATGTAGTTGGTCCATTCTTATATAATATTCATAGTCTTATATAATATTTTAGATAAAAAATGTAAAGAAATATCTAAATGGTTCACATCCTATTATAAAACAAACAGCAGACAATTATTTTTCCATGAAAGAACACCAACAATTTAAAGATCAATCTCTCCTTGACGCGCTACCACGATGTCTCAAGCAAGATATTGCCTACGACCTGAATTGCGGATTTTACACAGGTCGTTGTTGCTGAATAGTCTTCCGAAATATATCTTAAGGAACATCTCGTCAGAAATGAAAACGGTTATCCTGCCGGCAGGCGAAAGTATCTATTTTCAGTATGTGGTTAAGAGTGGTATGGTGTGCATAGAGGATGGCGGGATTGAAATTTTACATGACGATGATGAAGAAAGTCCTGTTATTTACTTTGGAACTGGAACAATCTTCGGTGAGTATCTTTACAAATCTTTATCTTAAGAAATGATATATTGTATTTCTACGCATGTTACAGTTTTTGTAAAATATTGCCCAAAACATATTTCTCTCTTAATACAGCCCTATGAAAATTTTCAAATTGTTTTTAATTTACACCGGTATATCAGTTTTTTTAACCCAAAATCCGAAGTTGTAATATGATCCGACATCTACACAGCTGGTCGCAAAATATCTTTACTTCTTTTAAATACATATAGGTAAGCCATAAATCACACACCTGCATTTTTTATGCTTCTATTTTTACTAGTAGGTTCCTTAATTGTAGACTATAATAAGACGTTTTATTGTTTGAATGTACAAACTAAAAATCAATCAAAATATTGTTATAAGGACGGTTGAAAAGATTCATTAAGACTGTTACTATAATTCTCTTTAAATTCTTCTTCTTCTTCTTTTGGCATCATAACCCTGGATGGGTCTTTGCCTGTCTGGCTATGTCCTTCCATTCAGATCTCTCTTGTGCCCTTCTTCTCCATTGTCTTATGTTCATTGTTTTCAGGTCGTCTTCCACGTCATCTAACCATCTCTTCTGGGCCTTCCTTTTTTCGCCTTCCTATGGGCTCTTATAATTCTCTTTAAATTACCGCTTCTTTTCCTGTAAAAATACACTCTACAGTCCACCGTTTGGCGGCAATATCATGTGTTCTCTACATACAATCCTCACATCCTTAGTTAAGACAATATTTCAGCACTTTCCAGTTAGAAGTCTGACAATAAACACTCTTTCGTCTCCACGTGGGACAATCACTCGCCACACTATCACGTGTCCAGTTAAGACAGTTACCATAATTATAGTTAAGGCTTTTACAAAACTTGGAGATGGCTGCAGGTCTATTTTATGTTTTCTTTTTTGCGTATTCAATCAAAGACTATGTGTATTTCTGGTTTTTTCCAGATTTTTCCGTCACATCAAAATACGTTTATTGACGTTTCAATTTCCACTTCGAGAACGATTTCCGAAGTGGAAATTGAAACGTCAATAAATGTATTTTTACCTTTAATTGTGGCTTATTCCCAGTTAAATAGTAATTAATTTAAAATGCCACAAGAAAATAGCTTCAGAACAATATTAAAAAAAGTTGGGTAAATTAATTAAAAAACCCTCAAATATCCCTTGAAAACCTGGTTTCTTGCATAAACGATGGTCGTGCTTGTTTCTTTGAGGCCTAAAAATTTTCTTTTTCATATATTTTTTAAAAACAAATTGGAGACGCATTGTATGCATCTCAAAAAATATGATTAACCCAGTAATATCTCACACAAACCCTCAAGAATCTATATATAACCTATAAAAACTTAGATTTGATCTATTTTGAACTCTATAAAATAAGGGTAATTCCCCAAAACCCATAAAAACAGTTTTTAGGGTTTTTGAGGATAGCTTATAGGAAATCTAAAAAAATCAGAAATATATTTGTTCATAAAACACATTAAATAAAAAAAATCGACCTGCAGCTATCTCCAAAACAAAGTTATACGCTTTTTTCGAAATAAAATGCATTTTAAGGTTATGTACACTCAATCTATGGATCTATAAAAATAAACATGTTTTGTAAAAGCTTCAACTATAGTATGAATTTTTTGACATTTTTAAATTGATTGAAACCCACCGAAAAAAAAAAAAAAATAGAACCGAAAAAATGACGTTTTTGGCGGAATGGGGAGGGGCAGCTTAAAATTGCGCTAAGCCTTATTTTTTAATCATCTAAAACGTAAAAAAGAAAAGAAAAATTACATAGATTTTGATGTTTCGATCTCCACTCCTGAAATTGTTTTCAAAAAGATTGTTTAGAATAAGGATGATTTTTGCTAACAGTGGAGATCATGAAATGATTTGAAAGGGGATTAGAGTATGATTTGTTGACGGAACTAGATTGTAATTATAGAATCTCTGACTCTTAAGTTTTGTTGTAAAACGAGCATTCTTGTAGATTACATAATATAAATATTTATTTAAACACTCAAATTTTTAGGAGAAATTTCATTATTCCTGAATATTCCCTCTAAAGTTACCGTTAGAGCTACCAAACGAACCGAACTGAGGATCCTGGAGAAAAAAGATTTTTTAAAAGTAATGTTACACTTTCCGCAGCAATTAAAATACCTGCACACGGCGCTTAAAATTCGCCTTAATAAGGCGAGTACGAGACAAAACAGTTCCAAAACGCGAGTCCAGAATTTAAGGAAAATGAAGAATCTGTTTTTTGGATCAATTGATGATGACGGGATCAAAGATACAAATTTTTATGAATTGTACAAATTAGTAGGCGAAGATTTGAGAGATAATACTTTCGATGAATATAATTGGGTAAGCTATTATAGTTATAATTGATGAATTCGACAGTAACTTGATGGAAATTCATTTTATGTAACAATAAAACACTGAAAACTTTGTTTTCAAACTTCCACAAAATTTATTTTAACTTCTTATCACTACATCGGTTTCGGCTGATTGCCTTTCTTAACTGAACTATTTTTGGCATGCATTTACATTTTATAGTCTCTAATGGAATAGGTTGAGGAGGGGAGAACTGTTTGTCTCAAGTTGGTCATTCAGAATTATATCTGTGTTTTTTTAATTTTTTGATTTCCATAGATTCTAACAAGGATAGCTTAAGGCCTTTATTTTGAATGTGAAGAATTTTAAATTCGTCATTAAACGAATGATTGTGATCTAGAAGGTGAAGTGCGTAAATATAATCTATTTTTATATTATTGAAAGCCCTTTTATATTCTGCTATTCGTTTATTATTATCAAACTAGTAGAAACTTTAACTCTCCTCTCGATATACGAAGACAGTCCACTCGATCCAAAAAGGAAATGACTTGGTCATAATGACCTTCACCAGAAAATGTAATGCCCCATTTATGAACCTGAACAGGTTTGGGTTGTAGAAATGCATTTGCTGCTTGGACAGAAGAGATTGGAGTTGATGTTGCTATTGGACTCACTCGGGAATCAAGTTCGCCCTCTATACTTAATATTCGCACAGAGCCAGAGCGTTGGAAGATTTGTTGTGCCTCATCTGAGCAAGATAATAAATGCACACGACCTGAGATGTGAGCTAGGCGTGATATTAGCCTGGAATGTGGGCTATCTTGGACAGTCCCTCTAAAATCGGCTATTCTTTTCATCAAATCATCCACAGTCTCTTCAATTTCCTGTTGTTGGAGCTAAAAAGGAATATTCGAGGCAGAAATCTATCGGAAACTCCTGTTTTCTTCCTGCCTTAAAGCTCCACGCAATATTTTGCGTTTCAGATTAACATTGGAAGACTCATCAATGTTGATGTCCCTAATCCTCAACTCATAATCCAATTCCTTCACTAACAAATGTTCTACCTCAATTGCAGACATTATGAAAATAATGAAAATAATAAATGTGTAAAAACACACCACAAAATCCATCAAAGAACTAAAGTTATTCAATATATATAAAAGTATTTAAAAAATTAAAGTAAAGTTAAACAAAATATTTAAAGTTGGATCCCTAACGTAACATACAATGATTTCAACAAAAATATGGTCAGCCAGCAATTAAATACAAAGAATAAACCAAGATTGGCTAATATATAAAAAATATAGCAATGTCTAAATTATTAATTTTTTTATCATACAAAAATAGTAAATAACTGGTTAACTGTACATAATTGGTGGTGGGTAGCTATAAAAAAATTATATTGTATATATTTGGATAGGGATTAAAATTTGTGGTGAAAACTAAATATTTTAATTAATACTTACCTGTTTCCCTTTTATTGCAGCAAACAGCTTTACAAGATACCTTGGAAGGTATATGTTAATACTTTCCTGGCTCCCAATCATGTATTAGAGCAACTTCCATAATTTACCACTTTCATTTACCTACGTTATTTCTATTTTTTTAAGTGTCCTTCATATTCTCACTCTACGGTCTCTATAGGGCATGCAAATTTGCCGAATCGTCTTTTGAGTGTCAAGTAGTCACTCTTCGACACATTCTGCTAGCCAGCTTTAGTTTATTTGTTTTTGTAACATTAGTCCACACACTTTTATTACATTGACATCCTAAACCTCGCAGTCCACACATTTCTGTTACAGAGTGGCCACTTCTTTGTGAGCAGGCCAAGATCCACGACGGATTGTCGAGCCACTTAATATGATCACCACGTGATAATTATTATGGAGTGGTATTAAAACAAATAAATAATTATGCTAACTTCATAATATATTTTTAGATAAAGATTTGGAAGCTTATGAATGGTTTGGCACAGACAGCTTTTTGCATCCTACATTTTTATTATGCGGCTTTTGTAACACAAATACCATATTATGTATTTACCCTTGAAATATTTGCAGCCATAGCATGTATTCTGGATCTGATTTTGCAGTGTCATTCTTATAAAAAATCTCAGGTAACATGTTTTAATTAAATAATAAAAAGCAAAATTCCAGTAAACCCTTTTTTACATTATTTATTCTATAACGCTTTCTTCTCAAATTTTAATTAATGTTTCATCCATGGACGTATAAGCACAGATGGATTCAAAATTATTTGAATAGGTCACATTCTCAGCACCTTCAACTGTTGTCACGTTTTGTTTTAAAATTTCTTATTCGCGAGTCGCTGAAAATATTACTCCGTATTTTACACTTTACAGGTGCTATCAAACCAAAATAATAATTTATTGGTTAGATTAATATATTTAATTGTAATCAAAATATCAAGCATGCACATAGTTTGCATTATCATTTAATAATAGCGTATAATAGACATCAATCAATTATTTTATATGTAGAAAACTGAAAGGAACTGAAGGAAACTGAAAACTATTTATAAATGGCAACGGTTGTTTACATTTCTCTGTCTTATGGATCTACGTCAAACTTCAAATACTGTTCCATGTTTGATTACTTTTTACAGTAGCTGAGGAAAAGTCGTTTTTCGATATTTTGGCTGTATTTTGAGTGATATTTGTGAAAAGTGAAATAAAATGAACGAAATATTTATATCCCGATCTCTCATTTCATTTGTAAGTACATACAATTTACATTATTTAAGATAAGGAAATGAGGAAGCGTGTTTGTTTAGATTTTAATAAGCGTACTGTCATCGCCTGCTAACTTGGCGGTGCGCACAAACCCAAAATTGCTTAGTGGCTTAGGTGGTGGTCTTTAGTCTCCTCCCAGTTATCAGGTGCGTAACACTTAAGTGATTTGCGGCTATTATTTTTCAGACTTCCTAATATTTCGGATATTTAAGTGTATTTGTGACAATTTCTAGCGATGGCGTTGAAAAATAGTAGCAAGAATAATTCTGTTATTAGTAGACAATCTCGGGAGATTATATTTAATGTGTTTAATTATTTCAAAAATATTAAACTCGAAGCAGAGACCCTTAAAACTGTGAAAGAAAAGACAGCTAAAGCCACAGGAAAGTTTGTACTTACAATAAATTAATTTTAATTGACTTCTAATAATAACGACTTCTAAATAATAACAAAACCGCACTACGGTGGTCTATTTGGACCAAAAATAACTCTATATTTTTATTTCATTTAAATTATCTATTATTTTTAAAACACAATAGTTCTATTTCTATTTATAAGGCATTTTCTTCCCACTGGTGGAAATATTTTGTTTGTTTATGTCTACCTTGTATTAAATAAAAATAGATCAAAAATAGGTGAATATTTGACATACTTAATAATGTTGACAGCTTACCACACTTACAAAAAATTTAAATTATTCGTTATTTTACAAAAAATGATCCAGAGTTCAGCAAAATTCTATTACACATAAAATACAAAAAAATTAATCACGTGGATAGTTTCTTAGGTTTTTTGCTGGATACACACCTCACAGCAAGCTACAGTATGATACATGTATATGTATGAAATTTCGGGTTTCCCTTTTCGTACAGTATTTTCAATGCCCTCTTTTACCTATAAAAAAAAAACCTATGACAAACAAACAAGCCTATGATTTGTTGACAAACCTATGTATGTATGCCAAACCTATGGCTTGTTTTTAAACCAGGAGGAGTAATTCAAATTTACCTTTTATTTTTTTTACCTTTAATAATTTTATAATGCTATAATATTTATGGATTACCGTCGAAGGTCGTCATGATCAACCCAAAAAGAAGATATAATATATTTGCTGATTTTTCTAGTGACTTTCTTGGCTGTGAAACTTTTTAGTTTACTCCTCCTGGTTTAAAAACAAAACATAGTGGAGGATTAGGTTGATTTTGGGTCGGCATTCCAGATTATTGCATAACAGTTTGTCGAATATGCGACAGATTCCAGTACAGAGTTTTCTTCTTCCAAAGATGAAGATGAAGAAAATTATTAACAATCAATTTATGTTCAAATAGATACCACTTTTCAACACGGGTACTTGTTTTAGTGTAATAATAAAACCAAAATATTAAAATTAAATAATTACTGTGTTGCATTTATTTATACAATATCCTCCAATTAATTTGAAACACAATATCAACGTAGATTTGTGAATTAAATTCAGTCATTATTGTATAATTTGCTTACTAAGTTACTAAACTACTAATAAATATTATAAAACCAATGGCTTACTGTTTAAATTGAATAAAACAAAATTACAATTTCATCTTTCTAATAATATATTAAAGCTTGCGAAAAATATTACTTTTTTAATTGTGTAATAATCATATGACCTATGCCGCTACGCTACTGAATATATGTACTTATCAGAAATAGTAAACCAATAGGATCAATCATAGGGCGTAAACATAATTTATTTCTCTGTGACGTTCTGCGTACTTTCTCGCCAAGTTAGCTGGCGATGATTGTACCATTGGGTTTATTCATATTCATTAATGTATTGAATAAGATATGAGTTCATGAAATTAGTAGACATTTTTAAATTGTAAGTAGACATTATCTGATTAAAAAAGATCTGTTTAGTACCTTTTTAATTTAATATTTCTCATGGATAAAAACAAATTAGTGAAATGAATAAGACTCATTTATTTTTCTATATAGGTTTCCAAATGATATTGACGATCGAACTATTTGGGTAGCAAATTTAGGAGAAAACGTACAAGATTTTTATTGTAGCATTATTTTGATACCCATTAAAAAATTAACTTGAATTCAACTAAATTTAATTGTATTAATTTTAAAGCAAATAAAATTGTATTTTAGTTTTCTATAAAGACGTGGTTTGTTAATAGTTAAACTCTCGTTTTTTTTTTAATTCTTTGAACGTGTTTTTATACATTATTACTACTTCCAATTTTTAAAATCTGAATAATTACCCACGAGTAAAAATTTAAGCACGCTTATGTTCATTACGGAAGCATCACATTCTATCGAAGCTTCAAAACATTGTGTGTTAAAGGTATCTTATTGCTGTGTCCATCTATGTTTATACGTCCATGGTTTCATCCATATTATATGATATTTCTATTTTAGAGAAAACCAATAAGCACATCAACAATTTTAGATGCAAAATTAAGCAATTTGAAATTTTATTTCGACATATTGTCTCTACTACCCTTGGGTAAGTTGTTTGTGTTGTAAGAATGTGTAGCAGAAATTTATTATTTGTAGAAATTTGGGCATATACTTTTGAAAATATTGCAGCATCAAACAGATTTTATGCTTTATTGAAAGTTAATCGCTTACTGAGATTATACAGAGTAACTGACGTAGTATACATTGTGATGGGCTCAAATTATCCAAATCTGGTAAGTTTTTCCCAAATATCCAAAATTCTGCCTTGATTTTACTATTATCAATGATGCTATACAAAATGCTTTAAACTCAAAATGCCCCAACTCGCTTGTATCGAAATACACGACAAATATGAAGATATAGTAGCTTGGTATGGACATTTAGAAGAGTGGACTCAGTCAGCTATAAGAGTATAAAGAAGACTGCAATATCATTTAAAAATGAAGTAGACGAGACAATGGAAAGAAGAAAACTGTAAGATTAAGATTGGCAAGATAAAAAGATCTGGAGAGAACTGTTAAAGGACGGAATACTTTAAAAGGTATGGAAATTATTGGTAGTACTATTAAAACTCTATGCACTTTCTTGTACCAAATTACTTGACCGATATGAAGAAAGACTACACTCCATGGACATTCAGAAGAGCGGATCCAGGCAGCTTGTAGTCCGATAGGAAGAGTAAAGGGAAGAAGACTCCGAGATCGTTTAAAAATGAAATCTCCTTCTTCTTGTGGTGCCTATCCATTACGGATGTTGGCAACTAGCAATTCTAACTTTATTGACCGCAGCTCGACATAGTCCTCAAGTGGTCAAGGAAAACCATTTTCGTAAATTCTGGAACCAAGATATTCTTCTTCTTCCTGGTCCTCTCTTTCCGTAGACCGTTCCCTGTAATATAAGTTGAAATAGATGAGACAATGAAAAGAATAAACCTGCAAGATAGAGATTGACAAGATAAAAAAAGCTGGAGGGAATTGTTGCACGAATGAATACAGTGAAAACTGTGGAAATCCTTGACAGCAGTATTAACAACTCTTAATTTTCAGGTATATCAAATCTCAGTTACATCATTGTTAATGATTTTGGCAATATACTTTGTAAGCTGTTTATTGTATATCACCTCGTGCTTTTATATTTTATGTGAGGATACTGGATGGTATTTCGTAAGTACTTATCCTATTATATATTATTCTGAAAAATAAAATTTAGCTGTAAAAGATATTTAATATGATTTAAACGAAAAAAATCATGTTTTTATTCACAGTCGCACTCATCTTTTATCTGTGAAGGGAGTCAGCTCAATTTTTGTATTTGAGTTTTTTATGTATGGTATGTTTCTCAATATTTGGCTGGGTCTGTCGTTCTGCATGTTCTTCTACGGAGTGTGCATTTGCCAATTTTTTAATCTCAGGTTTATGGCATCTCTAGCTCTAGGTACTGTTTATTGTTAATTGCGGATTTGTTATGTATTTTTGGAACTATCTCACTATCTACAGAATCTCATAATGGCAGATTAATGCTGGTGTCCGGATGGCTCTAAGACCAACGAAGGAGTCGGAGCTGGAGTATAAGGAAGGAAACCAAGGCTGTCATAGTGAAAGCCTAGATAATCCCTTAATTATCTTTCAAGCCTAAATTTATGCTTAAGTAATGTGCTTACAGGAACTAATAAAGAGTAACTGCAGGAACATATCTGAAGATCCTAAAACCGAATCCAATTTAGTTTGCAACTGTCTGCAGAATCTGATTCAGATAGGAAAAATAACAAAATAAGTTTACTCTGAATGCACGTACCGGGTGGTCCAATAAGCCGATCTCTCGGCTATATATCAGAAACTATTCATGTTATAACTTTAGGAAAAAAAATTCCTTAGTAAAAGTGGACAAGAGAAATCGCTGGAAATAACTTTCAAGTTTCTGGGTTAACCGCTAGGGGGCGTAACCTGTGAATAAAAATTTGAAAACCAGTTTTTTGTGAAATATGCCCAATTATACCAAGTGTTAAATAAGTAAACTAGAAAGAGGCCTAAATTCCGCACAAAGTTGTTCAAGTTCTTTTTTTTTATTTTTTAAATAAAGGGTGGGGGAGAGTGGGAAAATATTTGTGGATAAATACTTATAACTTTGGTTTGGATCAACCGATTTTAACGAAATTAGTGTCATTAGAAAGAGTATGGATGATTTAATTTATATCTACAATAAAACAATTGAATTTAGATTTAATTGTCATGGGTAGAGGGTACTTTTGAATAGAAAAAATTAAAATTTATTTTTCTTTAAAATGTTTAATGGAAACACCTATTTATTATAAATTATAATCGAACTGCATAAGAGTCGTAACACAATGGCGCAAACCGTATGTTGATAGCTTTTGTAGAACTCGAGCTATGAATAAAAACGCATAAACATAAGTAAGTATAGTATTGACTCACCCTGTATTATAAATTAAATTAAAAAATAAGTCAGTAGGTACTTTCAAATTTTTTTATAGTAAAAGAATCTTAATGTTGATACCTATTTTGACCATTGGTATTTTATATGACTAAAAATAGTTTTTTCGAAAGTGTTATAATCCGAATTGAAAATTCCAAGAAGATCCAAATTGAAGATAAGAACTTAATCTCCAATTAAATGTTCAAATTGTTTTCCATCATTGTTCACACAAAGATGTAATCTTTCGCGCTTAGACATAACAGCTGCTTCAAACTCAGCTGTTGATATACTATTTATTCTGTTTATAATGCGCTGTTTCATCTCGACTCGCGTGGTTGGTCAAGTTTGGTACACTAAGTCATTCAATCTTCCCCACAGATAAAAGTCCAGATATGTTAAGTCTGGAGATTCCTCGTCCAATCCATTTATTTGGATGACTTGCATACAAATAATCTCGAACTCATCTGGAAAAGTGCGCAGGACACCCATCATGTTGCAATATCATATCTCTTCTTGTTTGTAAGGAAATATCTTCCAATAAAACAGGCAACTGATTTTCCAGAAAATCCAAATATTTTCGCCATTTAAAGTTACTTATATCAAAGAAATATGGACCTACGATCTTTCCATCAACTATACCACACCAAACATTAAGACTCCTTCTACCTTGAACCTGCACCTCATGTATCCAATGCAGATTTTCTTTAGCCCAATAATGCATATTATGCAGATTAACATCACCCGCACTATTAAACGTAGCCTTATCTGTTCACAAAATCTTTGACATGATACGCGATTGTTCTTCTAGCAGACCCAACATCCAATTGCAGTAATCCAGCCTTGCATCAAAATCTCTCTCATGTAAAGCTTGGTGGAGAACTACATGATAAGGATGCAGTCTAAAAAAAACGAACAACAAATATTGGTGAAAAAGAAACCACTATATTTACTAAAACTTAAAAAATCTTAAAAAATCCACTGTTTCGCAAGATAAATAGTGCATAAGTAGTTTTAAGAAACGTATAAAAGCGCCATGTTGCCGTTTTTTTCGGAATATTAAAATAACAGTTGAATCTAAAGTTTAAAGGGAATTCCAAGTTTCTAACTTAAACGTTCACTTTATAATATGAAAAACCAACCTGTGATTTTTTAAAATCCTTAGAACAGTAGTTTTGGGTATGTTTAATTCTATAGAGATTTGCGGACTACTTATATGTGGATTTTGTTGAATTAAAGCAAGAATATTGATCAAATTATCTTCGGTCATACCTCTACTATAATACGTCGTGTAAACCAAGGACCATAAAAACTACCAGTTTCTCTTAATCTTCTTGCTTTTATTTCAAATACTTCTTTGCCATAATGTCTCCTGTCAGGATATCTTACAGAATATATACGTGAGGCAATAGCGGCATTTGGTGACATTCGAAATAAACTCCAATCATATCATACAATTCTGCATTTGATATACTCATCACGGATTATTAGTACTCATAATTAATTACTGATATTACCAATATTAATATCTATTGAAAAAAGTGCAATCTTCAATTCGGATTATAATATAACACTTTCGAAAAAACTATTTTTAACCATATAAAATACCAATGGTCAAAATAGGTATCAACCTTTCTTTTACTATAAAAAAATTTGAAAGTACCTACTGACTTATTTTTTAATTTAATTTATAATACAGGGTAAGTCAATACTATACTTACTTATGTTTATGCGTTTTTATTCATATCTCGAGTTCGACAAAAGCTATTAACATGCAGTTTGCGCCATTTTGTTACGAATTTGATCCAGTTCCATTATAGTTTACAATAAATAGGTGTTTCCATTAAACATTTTGAAGAAAAACTAATTTTAATTTTTTTCTATTCAAAAGTACCCTCTACCTATGACAATTAAAACTAAATGCAATTATTTTATAGTAGATGTAAATTATTTCATCCACACTCTTTCTAATGACACTAATTTCGTTAAAATCGGTTAATCCAATCCAAAGTTATAGGTATTTATCCACAAATACTTCCTCACTCTCCCCCACCCTTTATTTGAAAAAATAAAAAAAAGTACTTGAAGAGCTTTGTGAAGAATTAAGGCCGCTTTTTAGTTTATTTATTTAACACTTGGTATAATTGGGCATATTTCTAAAAAAACTGGTTTTTAAAGTTTTTTTCACAGGTTACGCCCCCTAGCGGTTAACCTAGAAACTTGAAAGTTATTTCCAGCGATTTCTCTTGGCCACTTTTACTAAGAAATTTTTTCTCCTAAAGTTATAACATGAATAGTTTCTGATATATAGCCGAGCGATCGGCTTATTGGACCACCCGGTACATATTGGTATAAGGGTAAATTAAAAAGTGGATCTACTTGCCAAGGGAGGGGCAAAAGAAACATTCTTAGGCCCAGAAGCTTTTGTTGACATCAAGAAATATAGCCAAAATAACGATATTGGACATGGTGGAAATGAAGAAACGTTATAGAACATTTTTCTAGAGCTGATATATCATTATTATTGTGGTATTCTCTAGAAACTAGAGTGTTCTATTCAGAATGACGTTGTGACTGAGCAGTTAGTTGTTAATGTTACCCGTACACCATTTTTTGTTTACAAAAAAACAGTTATCCCTAGTTTAAATTTTCTTTCGTTAAAGTAAACTGTTGAGTAAGTATAGATTACCCATCCCGCTAGACCGTGTCATAAGCAGTCGATAAGTTAGTATTAGAAGCAGTAACTGAAGTATGTTCAATCATCCGCAATTTCGTCAAAAGCTACTCTCATGGCTAACAAATCCTTAGAAGGATTATACGCATTCTAATTGGCCCATATTCCAGTGTTTTGTCTAACATTTGGTTCAGCGTTGCAATATGATGAATTGCCTATTTATCACCTTTGAAACCAGCCTGGCATTTTCCTACTATTCATTCTGCATATTGTGACATACGATGACATAGTACTGTGGAAAATATTTTATACACTGCATTTAAAAGCGTAATTATTCTGTGGTTAGAGCATTTAAAGATATCTGCTTTTTTGTGTATGCTGCAAAGTATTCCAATATTCCAATCATTAAGAAGGCATTTCTGTATTCATATTTCTTTTATAAGCTGCTGAAATGCCATTATGGTATCGTGACCACCTTCTTTATATAGTTGGAAGATTATCTATTCCTCGTGATTTGTTTCTGGCTAGTTCTTCTTCCTTCTTCTCTGTTCTCCTTACCTCATCTCTTTCGTCTTTTAGATTTTCTTGTTCTTCCTCTATATTAAGTGGCTGGTTAAAGTATTCCACCCATCTATTCAATACATCTTTCCTTGTTAATAGGTCCCTATTCTGACTTTTGCATTGTCTTGTGGTTGCCTTGAATTCTTTTCTGTTAATGTTTGCTACCCAATTAAGTGGCATTTATTTCACTATAATAGTTCTTGTTAAATTGGTACTTCTTCACGTAGCTTTCGACCAATTCTGTAAAAGATTAGTCTTTCGAAAAGTTTGTAAACTGATCTAAGTAAAATGGTGGACAGCAACTCTTTGACTTTTCTGCTGACTATCCTGTTAAGGGATATCTATGATTTCGAATTTATTTAAAGAGGTTTAGTAGGTTACATGCTTAAGTATATCTATATTAAATTTAGACAACCTGATGTCCAACATTGGATTAAGACTTACGGGGATATGCTATCGGTGCAGTTATCTTGACTACAGTATTGTGCGAATTAATGGAATCACTGAATTTTTTTTCATTTTTTCAATATTCACAGTTGGCAACACTACCTACACAGTTGACAGCTGACCAAGCATTGAAAACATAACCTTACTGTGTGTTGGTGTGTTTGAGTGTGTTTTAGGTCATTTTTTACCAAGCTTGTGTTGTTTCGGGGGTTTTGGTACTATTTTGTGTTGTTTTTGGTTTTATTCCAACATGGATATTACGCCTAGGAAGCGTGAAAAGATTGTCACGTTGAGTGAACACACTAGTATGTCACAAAGAGAGATTGCTAGAACGTGTGGAGTGAGTCAGGGGGTAGTAAGCAAAATTTTGAAGCGTAAACGAGAAACGGGATCAGTGGATGTGAAAAGGTTAGGAAAATGTGGAAGAAAGAGAAAAACAACACCAGCAGATGATAGATTTTTACTTCGAAAGAGCAAATTGGACCCAAGAAAATCAAGCCAAGACCTACAACATTCATGACTCAACTGTTCGTAGAAGACTTTTGAAAAATGGTAGAAGGGCAATTCGTCCACAGAAAAAACAGCTTCTAACTGAACGAATGAAGAAACAAAGGCTACTGTGGGCCAAAAAATACTCTAATTGGACTGTAGGCGACTGGAAAAAAGTCCTATTTACAGATGAAACCCACTTTATAGTTCAGGGACAGCGGTCGAAATTCGTCAGGAAGTCTGACAATGAAAATTTTATACCATCTCATATTGATTAAACCGTAAAACATCTAGTCAAGAAAATGTTTTGGGGATGTTTTTCATACATGGGGGTTGAATCTTTGGTGTCAATTGAAGGCATGATGAACAGCCAAAAATATAAATCCATGTTGGAAAAGTATTTGGACAAACAACTCCAAAAATGTCAACCCCAAGGAGGTGCGATTCTTCAACAGGACTCTGCTCCCTGTCACAAATCAAAGGAAATGATGGCATTTTTCAAAAATAAGAAGATTAATGTTTTAGATTGGCCCGGTAATTCGCCCGACCTCAACCCCATTGAAAATTTATGGACCATTTGCAAAGCTAGACTGCGAAAAATCGACTGTACCACTAAAACAAAAATGATAGAAGCGGCCATTTAGGTTTGGTATCGAGATGAAAGGATATCTGACAACTGCCAGAAACTCATAGAATCTATGCCAAAACGGGTAAAAGTAGTAATTGCTGCCAAAGGGGGACATATTTCCTACTGAATGATGTAAGTTTACCTTTATAGTTTTGTCAAAATATAATTTTTTACCAAATAAACTGTTTTTTTCATTAAAACAGCCTATGGTTCCATTAATTCGCACAATACTGAATGTTGTTAATATCATTTGGAATTTCTACTGGAGTAAACGGTATGGGAGTACTCCGATTTCCGATTCTAATGGACAGATAACTTATTTACACTTTACATTAGTGGTAAATGTTTGATCTGCAAGTGTCAACTACATCTATATTTTTACAATAATATATATTTTTTGCTATTATTACTTTTATTTTTCAGTTGTCATCCAAAGAAACCTATCCAGATAACCAAAACCCTAAAAACGCACTGTTAAATTCAGTTTATTTTACAGTAAGTTCTGCGTTTCATACCGGCATTGGGGATTTTTTACCCAAGAACTCAACAGACTTTTTGCTAGTAACAGTAATTTTGGTTATATTCTTAATTTTGAAATCCTATTTATCGGGACAATTTATATCTCTTATATTCTTAAATGAATTGTGTAGCGGTTCTTTAAATACAAGATACTATTTAAAAAGGTAAGATGCGTCTTTCTCTAATTCTTCTTATCCGTAATCTAATTCGTAAATATTATTATGATTATAAAAAATTTAGGTGTAGTTACATTCCTTATGTTTATTTCCGTTCTTTTGCTATCTCTTCAGGTCTCGACAATTGTCTGATTTGGAATTTAAATAATATAAAAGAAGTATAGCCATAGCTCGGAAAAAGATGTAAAAGATGAAAGTCAAACCGTCAATATGTCGCAGTCAAGTAAAAGTAGTTGCAGCTAACTTGGTAAAGGAGCAACAATCCATTTGTAACATTGATGTTAGAAGACCCTAAAATACCAGTTCTATTCTACTTACTCGCAATAATATTCCATTTTGGTCTATAATTATTTCATCTGTTGATATCGTTTTCCTTTTTTTCTCACATTACATTTTCATTTGTGAAATTTCGTTTAAATTAATGAGTAAAAAATGCAGAAACTGAAAAAAAAATAAGCAATGTGATAAGTATTTGTATAATAATACTAAGAAAATCAAATATATGTGCACAGGGAAGCTCCGAATGAAGTGTACTCGCCATTGCTTTAGGTCCTTTTCTTTAACAAAGTTATTGTAGATTAAAATATAATTATCTGCGACTTTTTGATTGTTTCTTCTTCTTCCTTATCGACTGTAGTACACATATTTCATTGCTGCTGTGCCGCAGTTGTTCGATTGTTTCTTGTTTTAAATTTTGTTAAGATATTTTATATTCCATGTTTCATTGATGATGTCTCTATTTCCAACTTGTAGTCCCTTTCTTCGTACGTTTTGTTGTCTTTCAATTAATCCATTTTCGAGATAATTTATGAGGTCTTTGAGTGCCTTTTTTTCCAGTTTCAGCTGATAATACTCATTTATTTGAATTTATTATTATTTAGCTACTCTATCTACTTAGCACCAGCGTTCCTCACACTCAATTTAAAAAATTTGAGTGTGAGAAATAATAAATTCTGGTTAGCGTGAATCTAATAATAGCGTGACTAAAAATGTCAATGTCAAATGCAATTTATTATGTGAAATTCTTAATAAACTTACAGTAAAAAACAGTTATATAAAAAATATAAAAAAAAACACGAGAAGTAAGAAAGATTACTTTAGAAATGAAATTGTAAAAAACAAGAATGTTTCCAAAAACCTGTGAAATATTGTTAAAAATTTGATAGGTAAAGAAACCGAAAGACATATTATAGAAATAGTTACACAAGGAGGAACTACAGTAACAGATGGTGAAACTATCTCCAATTCTTTTGCATTATTTTACAGAAATTGGAGAAACTTATGCCAAGAATATAACAGCACCGACATCGTATTTCCCATAATATAACAGCGTGTCTGTTCTTCTTCTTCTTCGGGTTCCTTCTCCTAGCGGAGGTTGGAAATCATCATCGCTATTTTAACTTTGTTGGAATTTCTGAATAATTCTAATGAGCTGCAGCCGAACCACTCTCTCAAATTTCTTAGCCAGGACATTTTGCGTCGTCCTGGGTTTCTCTTCCCTTGTATCTTCCCTTGCATAACCAACCTCAGTAATACGTACTTCTCACCCCTCATTAAATGTCCCAGATATTGAATCTTTCTAATTTTAACAGTTTTTATGACTTCACATTCTTTGTAAAACCCTCTATATTAGTTACTTTTTCAATCCACGATATTTTATGCATTCTCCTGTAGCACCACATCTCAAAGGAGTTTAATTTTTTGATTTCAGACTGCTTTATTGTCCACGCTTCCATGCCATATAGTAAAGGCGTGTCTGTTAGGTCTTAGATATATAATATTATGTAGGTATCTAAGACCGAACAGTGAACTTGAGGAAATTATTAAAACACTTAAGAAGAAAAAATCACCAGTAATTGACAACATTAAGCAGAAACAATAAGAATTATAGATAAACAAATCATCAAACCGTTGAAGGAACTCACAAATTTAATATTTAAAACTAGTCTATGTTCAGATAAATTTAAGAAAACAGTTGTCATTTCTATATACATAAGAATAGAGATAAACCAAGTTTGTCAAACTACTGACGACCAATCTCACTAATTACCAATTTAACATAAATATTTGAAAAATGTTTTAAAATCAGATTAACATCTTAGATAACAGAGCTAAGAGGGGAGTCTCTATTGCCATTCGAAAAAATCTTAAAAACAACATTAAATCGTGGACTGAAGTAAATGAACAACTACTAATACTGGAAATGAAAAAGAATGGGCACAATATCGTAATTGTCGGAGTATATGCTCCAAACGAAGATGCAAATCCAGAAAGTAAAGACGATTTCTACGACAATATGAATGAAATACTCTCTGAAGTTAAAGAAAACTGTGAAATCTTTATACTAGGAGATTTAAACGGCAGAGTAGGGACAGAAGAAAATAGCAGAGTCGTAGGAAGATATGGGGAACAAATAACCAATGACAACGGAATGCGTCTTAGAGATTTTTGTGAAATAATGTCTCTCAAAATTATGAATGGATTTTTTCAACATAGAGACATCCACAAATTTACATGGATACAACCTACTAGGAATCTGCGCTCGATAATCGACTTTGTAATCCAACGTCAAACTTCCCAGCTGAAAACAACTGACGTAAGGGTATACCGTGGATCAGAATGTGGATCCGACCATCATTTACTTATGGCCAATGTGATAGTTAACTATCGCAAAAACAATAACACTCAGGTACAGAATATAGAAAAGGGACAAAAAGTAACATCTCCTAAATATAACCTAGAAAGCTTAACAGAAGATTCAACAAAATTTCTTTACAAATTACGACTGGCCACAAAATTACAAAATGTGGATCGAGAAAATATAACAGCGGAAGAATTATACCAACAACTTAAAAAGTACATTCATGAGGCTGCAAGTGAAGCTTTGGGGTATAAAGACAAACATGAAACAAAAAATCAAGAATGGTGGTCGGAGAATATGCAAACGTTAGTAAACAAGAAGAAAACTGCTTATCAGAAATGGATGTCAACGAGAAAGGAGGAAGATCACAAGGTATATACGAAATTAAATCGAGATGTAAAAAGAGAAGTAGTGAAAAGTAAAAATGAGATGTGGGATCGAAGATGTGCAGAGGTGGATAGGTATATGGGTGGAACAAGAGTTGGGCAAGCGTGGAAGGTGACAAAGTCTCTCCGGGGGAAGGAAAGGAAAAATCTAACTTAAAATTAATAGATCTGAAACAGTGGAAACAGCATTATGAGGTCTTATTGACAGAGGATAGACGTAAATTCCAAGATATCGAAATGGAAGAAATATCTGAACATACACAAATAATTGAGATAACAACCGGAGAGTTAAGCGATGCCCTCAAAAGATCGAAAAACGGTAAAGCAGCAGGACCTGGAGACATCCCAATTGAGTTGGTAAAGTATGGACCAAAAATATTACACGAGATGATGGTTAAACTATTTAATAAATGCTTAAAAGGACAAAATATCCCTGATGATTGGAATGTTGGATACATCAGCTCAATATACAAAAAAAGGGGATAAACGCAATTGTTCTAATTATAGAGGAATAACTGTTACTAGCTCAGTTGGGAGGTTGTACGGTCGAATAATAAAAAAACGAATTGAATCAGAATATGAAGACATAGAGGAACAAAATGGATTTCGGGCAGGAAGATCGTGCATTGATAATATATTCGTTCTGCAGCAGGTAATCGAAAAACGGAAGGCAAGGAATCTATCTACCCACCTATTGTTTGTAGATTTAGAGAAGGCATATGATACGGTACCTTTGAAAAAACTATTTAATACATTGACGAAAGTAGGTCTCAGTAGAGAGTATGTGGATGCTATCGCAAATATATATAAAAATGCAAGAAGTGTCGTTAAAGAAGGAAACTTTATATCTGAATCATTTCCAATAACCAAGGGGCTTAAACAAGGATGTTGTCTGTCTCCGACCCTGTTTAAAATATATATTCAATCATCGCTAGAGCAGTGGAGAAAACAAGTATCCGGAATGGTAATAGACATAGGCGGTGGTGAATGTCTAACAGCTTTATTTTTCGCAGATGATCAGGTAGTCGTAGCGAATGACGAGGAAGACATGGACTACATGTTTAGAAAACTAAAGAAAGAATATGAAAAATGGGGCCTCAATATGAATATGGCAAAGACAGAGTATCTTAAAATAGGAGATGGTGAAGGAGATCCAGAGTTAGAAATTAGAAACACAAAAACATGCAATGAACATAAATATCACGGATCTATAATATCTAAAGAAGGCACTACCAAAAGAGACATCGAAAACAGAACACAGCAGGGAAAAAAAGTGGTAAACATTCTAAACTCTCTACTTTGGTCTAAAGATATTAGACAAGAAACGAAATTGACAATCTATCGAACCTTGGTAGAGCCTATTATGACTTATGGGGCAGAGGTTTGGCAGATAACGCAGAAGGATAGAAAAAGAATAAAAGTAGTAGAAATGGATTTTCTAAGGAGAGCGTGTGGTATATCCAAAAAAGATCACATCAGGAATGAAGATATTAGAAGGAGGACAAATACTGTATATTCCAGTGTAGATAGAATTGAAACGAGACAACTAGTGTGGTATGGTCACGTGAAACGAATGAATGAAGATAGATGGCCAAAGAAAGCTTTAAATTACATACCACAACAAAGAAGAAGAAGGGGAAGGCCTTCAGTTGCCTGGGAAGAAAATGTACGGCACATAATGAGAGATAGAGCCATCAGAGAAGACGAATGGATGGACAGAAAACGATGGCGGTCGAAATGCGAGAAACGGCAGAGGCTGTAGGAACCTCGCTTATATATATATATATATATATATATATATATATATATATATACATCTTTCTTCGATTAACACAACATATTATCGTCTTCGAAGTTTGGATTCCATGAAGGTTTATCGACAAATGACGCAATATTAGAACTCACCAATGAAATATACAATTGAATTGACAATAGCCAACCTACTGCTTGTGTGTTTCTAGACCTGGCAAAAGCATTCGATACTTTAAGCCATCCAAAACTACTAGAAGCACTAGAAAATGGTGGAATAAGCGGCACTGTTCATAATTTACTAAAGTCTTACTTGGACAACAAATACCAAATTGCTAGGATTATTAATATTACCAGTAATAAACTTCACTTAAAATGCGGTGTGCCCCAAGGTATAGTATTGGGAGCACTACTATTCAATATATATGTCAACGGTCTATATAATCTCAATACCGAATGGAGTTTTGCCGATAATATTGCAATTTTATATAGCGCAGACAATTTGAAAACATTTAAAGAATAAAATAAAATTAGATATGCTCAAACTAATAAAATGGTTTAATTATAAAGGTTTAACAATTAATTATGAAAAAACGTTTTATGTTCCGTTTTGCATGTGTTGTTAAATATGATAGTGATTGCGCTTAAATTGTATTCATCTACAAGTTTAATCAGCTCGATGTGAACTTTATCTGGCCCAGGGGCTCTGCCAGATGTTGAGTTAAGATTTCAATGCTCTTCTTTCGTCTACCTTTCCTTGTATTATTAAATGGAGTATATTATATCTCTTTGGGTGGCGCATAACATGACCAAACAATTCAAGTTTGCTATTTTTAACTGTTTTGACGACTTCCGTAACTTTTCCCATCCGATGCAAAACAACTTCGTTACGAACTCTATCCACCCAACTTATTCGTAGGATTCTCCAATACACCCAGATTTCAAAGGCTTCCAGTTTCTTGAGAAGTGTATCTGTCAAAGTCCAACCTTCGACACCATACAAAAGAGTAGAGAACACATACCATCTCACTAATCTAATTTTCAGACTTAAAGTAATATTGTTTCCACATAACAGTTTCTTCATCTTAAAGAATGCAGCTCTGGCCTTCTATATACGTATTCTAATTTCTTTGCTCATGTCCCAGGTTTCATTTAGATTACGACCAAAGTAAGTGATACTGTTAGTTCTCTCCAATTGTTCACCATAAGCTGTTACCACTTCCAGATGTATTGGCGTATTTCTGACGACCATCACCTTCGTCTTTGCGGTGTTTAGCTTAAGGCCATATTCATCACATGTTGTGGTAATCCTATTAATTAGATGTTGAAGTTTTTCGAAATTGCTTGCAATTAACACTGTGTCATCCGCATGTCTCAAATTATTAATATTGACGCCATTCATTTTTATACCACATTGAACATTATCCACTGCTTTATTGAAAACGAACTCAGAATAGATATTAAATAGTAGCGGGGACAAAATGCACCCTACCTTACTCTTCTTCGTATTTGAAGCTCTTCAGAAGTGTCCCGGCCAATCCTAATGTTTGCACGTTGATACCAGTAAAGATTTTTAATAATGCGTAGGTCTTTATCATCAATACCTACCTGCTGAAGAATGGTTATCATTTCAGTATGTTTTACTCGATCAAAGGCCTTCTCAAAGTCAATAAAACACATATAAACTGGATGTCCAACATCTCTGCATCTCTGTACCATAACCTGAATATTAAATAGTGTCTCTCTTGTTCCAAGGTTATTGCGGAATCCAAACTGTGTGTCACCAAGTTATTGTTTTATTTTTTGGTACATCCTAGAGTGCAAAATTCGTAGAACTATCTTTAAAACATGACTCATCAAGCTAATGGTTCGGTAGTTACTACATCTTTTTGCATTTGCATGTTTTCATCATCCATTTTTCTTTAGTTTCTTTTATTTTGTCCCTTATTAATTTATGTTTTTTTTTCTGTATTTATCTGGGTTGTTGTTTCTATATTTTCTTCTTTGTTTTATGATTTCCAGTATTCCTTGACTTATCCAAAGGTTTTTGACTTTTTTCTTTTTTTTGTTGAGTTTCATTCTGCGTGTTTATATACTTATCTCCAATCTTCATCAATAAAGGCACACTAAAATAATCAATTTTTATCTTATTTATATTGTCTTTTAGTATCGTTTGTCATATATACTGTTTAATAGTTTTTCAGAGTTTTATCGTATCTCAAAACCGTTTAAAAGGAAGATTCTTAATTATTTGAAGATAAATCCCAATTTTCTGCAAGAAACCAGTACTTTGTTCATTCGCAAACACGCTCCTGCTAGCGTAGATACATTGATCCACATATCGAGGACAAAGAACATAGATGAAGGACCGTTATTTAAACATGTAGATAGCTATTTCCTTGCTGTGAGTATATCTCTTTCTATTTAGATAGTTTGTTTCTAATTAACGTGTCCAAACAACTTCGTCAATATTATTTTATGTTCGAAATAGTTACTGGTAGTACTACTTTAATTATTCAACCTTTATTTACAGTTAATAGAAAAAGATGCCAAGATGTGGTTATTACCCAAAAACGAAACTCTGTATATCCGAGGTGACCCTACGAGAATCATGTACATAATAAGCGAAGGCTTCTGTAAATTATACAACTCAGAGAACAATCCAGAAAAATCCGTCGGTCCAGGATCATATTTAGGCTACTTGGAAGCCATCTACTGCATTCCTAAAAAGCACACAGTCGTGTCTACCACCGACTGTAGATTGATTTGCTTAGAATATGCCGTAATGGAGAAAATTTTTAAATTGTTTCCCAAAGAACTGGATTTTCTAGAGAAAACAAAATATCGTGATGAGCTCGTGGCGGAAATTCGTAAATTTGAAAGGGTAGAGCGTGAATTACCAGTTATAAGCCATGTTATAACTCAGGATGAGTATGTTAAAATATATTTTTTACCGTTTTATAATTGAATGTCCGCCCCGAATAAAGTTGTAACCCTCAATATTTGTAAATCGGTGTTGTTAGCGGAATATGGTTGTAATCATAATTTCTGTTGTATCCTTTCCCGCATTTAGTTCTCTCTAGTTATCTCTTACGTTCTGACGAACTATGGGTTCTTTTGGAGTGTCATAATCCAGGTTCTGTTTAGGTTTACTTTTGATAAGTTTCTTTAGTTTGAGTTCTATTTATCCTACTAATGGATTGTGGTCCGGTCAGACGTCTGTTCCTGGGAAGGTCTTTGCCGAAGTCAAGCTATTCTTGAATCTTTTGTTAATGAGAATAAAGTCTATTTGGTGTCTGATGATATTATTGGCTGTAGCTGCAGGTGACTTTCACCTATAAAGTCGTCTCGAGGAAAGTCTAAACCAGGTGTGAGCAAAGGTAAAATCCTTTTCCCGGCAAAATTGGATAAGTCGGTCTCCCGTTTTGTTTTTCTCGCCTAAGCCGTGTTGTCTGACGATGTCTTCTATTCTGCTTTTGCCAACTTTGGCATTGAAATCATCCATGCTGATGGTAAGCTCGTTCTTCTTCTTCTTCTTTCGTTGTATTTTATTGAAGGATCTGCTTTGCAGCTTCGAGAGAGGTAGCACGTTTATCATAGCCCCAGCGACCTTTTTGCTCAGAATACCGCTACAGCGTTCCAGTAATGTGGTTTATCGTTTCTCTGATAATATTCTATATGCTCAGCACTGTCCCGAGCCTGGCCATCTCATCTCGCTGATTCCGATCATGTCGATATTTAGTCTTTTCATTTCTTGAATGGTGTTATGTATCTTTCCCTCTTCAAACATACTTCGATTCCAATTCTATATTCCAATTACAGATTTTTGAACGTTCACGTGAAAAGCCTACAGGATTTTTTTAAATTTTCCCACGTAATGACATTCTTCTTCTTCAAGTGCCGTCTTCGTTCGGAAGTTTGGCTATCATCAAAGCTATGCGTATTTTTGATGCTGCAGATCTAAACAGTTGGTAATGACAGTAATGACATTACTGCTGCCTAATGCCAAGTCCTCGGTCGATCTGCGGGTACTTATTTGGTTGGACCTTATTCGTACCTGTTCTGCATATCTACAAGAACTTTCCCTATCAGCCATTGGGACGCGCCGTGTCAGGATTGAGGACTTCCCCTCCTAATCTGTTTTACGCAAAGTACTGAAGGGCTCCAACTCAATTCAAAGTCCCTCCTCCACGCAAGTTGAGACAAGGGCGAAATACATATAAGCGAATAGTGGAAGCACAATACTCAACTCAATATCAAATCTTCACTGTCTCTTCTGTATCTCAATATTACAAAATTTTATACAGTAATTATGTTACAATTAACTTACCAAATTCGATTTTTAGGGAAGCTTTCGTTAACATAAACAAAACAGACTATTTCAAACTATATAAAACCAAACTCGGCCCGTTCTGGTTTATCAGTTTCCTATTCTTGCCAGCCACAATACACCCGGAAGGGCTATTTATAAGGGTGTGGTGCGTTTTAAGAGCTTTCTTAATTACGATCCAAGGAATAGTGTTAATATTATTAATCATGTTGCCTCCTTTTGCTAACGAGATGAGTTGGATTGACTTCACTTGTCAGTTGACGTTGTACCTGGATATGTATCTAGGTCTTCATATCGGATATTATGACGGTAAAGGAATGTTAAGAGTACATCCTGTTTATACAGCATGGTAAGTATAAAATATAATGTGGATTACTACATTTTTGTTAGCAATCATATTTTGAAGTGATTTTAATGTTTGTTTCAGTTACTTTATTACTATTTCACTGTTTGGTGTTGCTCTATGATTATATTAGTTGTTTTATAATAGGATACATATAGGAATAATAATGAAATCTGTAAAATTTAGTAGATACAACCATTGTAAATTTGCAACGAATAGTTATATAATAATGTAAAAAACAATTTTACACAAGTATACAATGTGACTGGACAAAATCTACAATAACGACCAAATAGAGGTAGAATAAGAGCAGTAGAAATGGAATTCATGAGGAGAAGCTGTAGACTTACAAAAAGAGACAGAATTGAAAACGCAGAGATTAAGCGAAGAATGGGAGTGCAATCAGACATAATCGACTATATAGAGGAGAAGAGACTATCCTGGTACGGCCACGTCAGAAGAGCGGACAGAGAACGCTGGATAAACAAAATCACAGAATGGAGCCCGATCGGAAGAAGAAAGACAGGAAGACCTCGAAGGTCATTCAGAGACGAAATCGACGAGGCTATGTAGAAAAGAACCCTGCGAGATGGAGACTGGAATGACAAGGAAAATTGGAGAAAACGATTGAGTGAAGGAAGACTAAATAGGCTAAACAGAGAAGTGAAAACAGCATTAGCAGAACACAGAAGCCGACAATAGGATAACTACGTTCAAGAAATGGAGAAACAAGTTCAAACAAGCAAAATATATGGAAACTACAAAAACTACTAAGAAATGATAAGAAACTATCCGGTGAAAATGGAATTGTCTACACCATAGATGAAAAAGCCGAGGTGATAAGGAGGACTCTGGAAAGAGAATGTACATTAAGTTATCATCATGACGAAGATGTGGACTATATCGGAGAAGTCGAGGAACAACTAGAAATGCCCGAAGATTCAGAAGAGATAATCACGTCTACATCTCCTAAAGAATAAAACGAATTGATTAAAAATAGTTCACCGAGAAAAGCACCTGGTCTGGATAAAATTTCAAATAGAGCTCTGAAGTATCTACTAGCAAAAGCAATAGTACTTTTAACCAACATAACGAACGCGATCCTTAGATACAGGCTATTCATAAATCGATGAAAGAAAGCCCACGTTATCATGATTCCGAAGCCAGGAAAAAATACCATGTTTTCCGCAAAATTACAGGCCGATCAGATTAGTGCCAGCAGTCAGCAAGATACAGAATAATACTAAGAAGACTACAAGCTAAAACATACGAAATAGAATAAATCCCAGAAGCTCAGTTTAGATTTAGAGAAGAACATTCTAGCGAATTACAAGTACTTAGACTGACAGAATACATAACAGCTGAATTTAACGAAGAACAATACACAGGATCAGCGTTTCTGGATGTGAGCAAAACCTTCGACAGGCATAAAGGCCTAATGTACAAAATAAAAGGCTACGGATAAAGTGAGACCACGACGAGACTGATCTCTTCTTCTTCTTCTTTAGGTGCCATCTCCGCTACGGAGCTATTTTAATTTTTGAGGCAGTAGCTCTAAATAGTTGTTTTGAGCTGCATCGAAACCATTCTCTCATGTTCTTAAGCCGTGAAATTCGTCTTCTTCTGATGCTTCTTCTGCCATCAATCTTTCCTTGCAATATGAGTATCAGGATATACTTCTCGCCCCGCATCACATGTCCGAGATACTGTAGCTTTCATTCTGTAATAATTGAAAGTTCAATTTCTTTCTCTTTACCTATTCTTCTCAGTACTTCATTGTTTGTAATTATATCTACCTAGGAAACCCTCATAATTCTTCTATATGTCCACATTTCAAAGGCGTTAAGTCGTCTCATTGTGTCTAGATTTAGTTAGGCGTACTTTAAGAGCTAATGTTTAATCTTTGTTTAATCTCTCTAAACTACTCCGATTAATTCTTTGACTTTTTTATGTAGATTAAAGTTGTCATATTTGTTTTGCAGTTCTTCTATTTCTTTACATTTTTCAGAGAAGTAGGTTTCTTTAGCCTCCCTAATTTTTCTTCTTATTTAGTTTTGAAGCTGTTTATATCGGATCGTATTGATGGTTTTGTTTTTTCTCCTTTCATTCATCAACTCTAGAATTTCCTCGATCATCCACTCTTCATACTTGATCTTCATCTACTGATCTCTTCGTACTTGAGCAACAGAAGCTTCAGGGGACGAATAGGATAAGTACTATCCGAGCATGGAAGGAGCAGGGAGGTGCCACGAGGAGCAGTCTTGTCACCCCTATTGTACATAATATACACCGCAGTCGTTCTAAGAACACCAGAAATACTATTCACCCTTTATGCAGACGACACAGCGATTGCGACCAAATACAGAAACTTAGAAGTAGCGGTTAACAATCTACAGACAGCATTGGATAACATTGAAGAATGGTGTATCTATTCGAAAATATCAATCAATTTAGGAATCATATTCAAAACGAAAAGAGAAACCCCAGAGGAACAGCTGTTAGTGCAAGATAATCCCATCGATTGAAAAAGGGAAGTGAAATACCTAGAAGTTATTATGGACCAAGGATTAACCTTCACACAACACGTAGACATAACCATTCAAAAAACAGCAACAGACAGAGCAGCAATAAGAGGACTCACAGTTGAAGTTTATTTTCAGGACAACCTAAAAAAAATAAATAAATAGAGTGAAAAAAAAATCAAACCTGGGCACGAAGGGCTCACATCCTCGGTTCTTCTCAGAACTTCCACATGAAAAGCACTTGGCTGATAGTTGTGTCACTATCGCGCATCAGAGTGCTATAGGAGGGTAAGAGAGGGTCTGGTGGAGCGAATCGTGTTTTTAACTTAAGTTAATACACCTCACTCCAATTCATTGTTACACCCGAAGGTAATTCTTAAGGGTGAACAGGTCTCACAGGCTGGGTTTACTTAAATTTATTGCTTGCTTGCTCCAAGAAATTTAAGTGAGTACGACTATTGGCGCCAATTTCGCAAGTCTTAAAGCGAGTGGTGGTTTCTTTATTTTCTTAATATTTCTTTATCCACTACGCTTCAGTGCTTTGTCTCACTGCAATTTTACAAAGTGTTTTTAAATATTTTAATTCTATTTTAGGTACTATTTTACTCACGGATTTTTACTGGACTTGATCGCAGCAATTTCGTGGCCCTTGTTCATGTTTCACGCTGAAGATGAAGACGTTGATAAAATATTTTTTCATTCCACCCACTGCTTTTGGAATCTATTGAAACTTGTACAGTTTATAAAAGTTTACAAGTGTCTCTTGTATTTTCAAAACCGCACCTTCGAGTCATTTGTATCTATAAGGATTTTGAAAAGTTTTTTGTTTATAATTGTTATAACAAACTTTTTGACGGGTCTTGCGGTTAACTATTATTGTCAATTCGTTACAGTAAGTAATTTTACCAACAACTTGTCAGTTCATGATACTGCTGAAAGGAGAATTAATCTAATACGTTGTAAAGATGCATTTTTTCAAGACACTTGGATGCCAACATTTCCAGGTATGCTTATATTAAATATTATTAAAATATCTTCTTATATATTTTCACTACATTTCACTAAAATCTGCATTTTTTGCGTTGTAGATATGAATGAAATCTATACTGCAGGTATGTATATCATCTTAAGCTTGTTAACCAATACTGGCATTGGTGACATTATCGCAATGACAACTACTACGAAAATTGCAACAGTATTAATAATTATACTAGGATACTTTATTTTTGCAATGCTGACTGTGACAGTGTGTTCTATAATGCTGGCCGAAGCTGAAGAATCATTCGAATTTCGACAAAATTCCCTTGAGATGTTAAAATTCTTAAAGAGGAACCAAATACCTCCTACACTGAAGAAACAGGTACGATGGATAACCGTACAGTTAGTTTTACCTTATAAATTTTAGTCAAAATTTTAAAGGTTGGTCCAAAATTTTCACTATCCAAACGTTTGACACTTGTTATCGAATAATCGGTTTGTATTTGTTTTCTTTTTTCGTTTGGCTATCCCAAGATGAGTGTCCTGTTTTTAGATTGTTTTTATTTTCTTTTTGTTTAATACTCATGTATGAATGAGGTCAACTTGGGTTTTTGTTAAATGACAGTTTAATGGGAAGGTTTCTTGCGGTGACCGTTGAATGATGAGGACACGTATGGTGAGCAAACGCTTCACAGCTCCAAAGAAATGAAACACCTGTAATTTAGTAGTTTATAATGAATATTTTTCCTTTCGGTGGGTTCAAACCAGAGGATAAACCTTCCATACTAGGCTGTCGCGAATTGGTAATATTTTTATCAACTCAACATCAACATCAACAGTGTGTCCTTCGTTTAATCAGTTTTTATCTAAATTATAAATTGTTTTTCCTTCTATTTGGAACCTTTTAATTGTTCTTAGATATGCCTTTCTCTAACAAACAATATAATTTACTTATTGTCTTGCCTTATATTAAATCACATTTGCTTTTTACCTTAATCAACATTTAATTTTCATGTTTCTTTTAATTAAAGTGGTTATACTTATTTTAGGTAGCAGCACTGATGATTGGATATTTATTGCAAAAAGGTTCCGTGATTAAGCTCTTCTTCTTATTCATGTGCCATCTCCTCTAAGAAGGCCGGCAACCATCATGGAAATTCGCACTTTCGATACCGCAGCGAGGTCAGCAGAAGTGCAGTTAAACCAAGCTCTCAAATTGTTTAACCAGAAGATGAGTCTTCTTCCGTGACTCTTTCTACCCTGTATTCTTCCTTGCATTATTAATTGCCACAAGTTATAATAGCCCTCATGATATGTCCCAGATATTGCAGTTTTCTGACTTTAATTGTATTTAAAACCTCTTTATCTTTTCCCATTCTTTTCAACACCTCGATATTCGTGACTCTATCTACCGATTGATTAAGCCCGAAAGGTTTTTTTTTATAAATATACCTTTTATAAATAATTTTTTATATTCTATACGATATATTGATTTATGGTGGTTGAATCTTCTTCTTCAAGTGCTCTGTCCACTGCTAACGTATGTTATTAACACGACAATTCTGATATTGCTTACGTCACTTTTAAATATTTCGGCTATGGACGTATAAACACAGATGGACTCAGTTATTTACATAAAATTGTGAAGTCAAAATTATTTGAATAGGTCACATTCTCAGCACCTTCAGCTGTTGTCACGTTTTGTTTTAAAATTTCTTATTCGCTAGTTGCTGAAAATATTACTCCGTATTTTATACTCTACAGGTGCTATCAAACCAAAATAATAATTTATTGGTTAGATTAATATATTTAATTGTAATCAAAATATAAAGTGTGCACATAGTGTGCATTATCATTTAATATTAACGTATAATTTAGATATCAATTAATTATTTTGTATGTAGAAGCACTGAAAACTATTTATAAATGGCAACGGTTGTTTATATTTCTCTGTCTTATGGATCTACTTCAAACTTCAAATGCTGTTCCATGTTTGTTTACTTTTTAGTAAAATTTGTTTTTTCGATTTTTTGGCTGTATTTGAGTGATATTTGTGAAAAGTGAAATAAAATAAACGAAATATTTACATCCCGATCTCTTATTTCATTTGTAAGTACATAAAATTTACATTATTTAAGATGAGGAAATGAAGAAGCGTGTTTGTTTACATTTTAATAAGCGTACCATTGGGTTTATTCATGTTCATTAATGTATTAAATAAGATATAAGTTCATGAAATTAGTAGACATTTTTAAATTGTAAGTAGACATCATCTGATTAAAAAACATCTATTTAGTACCTTTTTAATTTAATATTTCTCATAGATGCAAATAAATTAGTGAAATGAATAAAACTCATTTATTTTTCTATGTAGGTTTCCAAAAAATATTGACGATCGAACTATTTTGGTAGCAAATTTAGGAGAAAACAAAGATTTTTTATTATAGCATTATTTTGATACCTATTAAAAAATTAACTTGAATTCAACTATATTTTATTGTATTAATTTTAAAGCAAATAAAATTGTATTTTAATTTTTCTATAAAGACGTGATTTGTTAATAGTTAAACTCTCGTTTTTTTGAATTCTTTGAACGTGTTTTTATACATTATTACTACTTCCAATTTTTAAAATCTGAATAATTACCCGCGAGTAATAATTCAAGCACGCTTATGCTCATTGCGGAAGTATCACATTCTATCGAAGCTTCAAAACATTGTGTGTTAAAGGTATCTTATTGCTGTGTCCATCTATGTTTATACGTCCATGATTTCGGCCGATGTGAGCCCGAACCACTTTCTCAAATTTTTGAGCTACCATTGTGTCTTGCCTGGCCACCGCATGTTATCAATTTTCCCATTTTTCTTCTTCTTCTTTTATACAAGCAATTTTGCTTGTTCATTGACCTCTATTGTCACTCTACTTCTTGCGAGATCGGCCCACTTCTTCTACCACGTGGTGATTTTTCCCTAGATAATCAATTTAGCTATACGTTGATTATCATGTCTTAATATGTGACCTATATATTCAAGTTTTCTTTGATTAATTGTGCTCATGATTTCTTTCTCTTTTTGGATTCTGTGGACTACTTTATAAGAATAATACGTCGGTCTCTGTCAACATACAGGCCTCTTCAACATATAATAAGATTGGAAAATGTAGCATTTAACTAGACGTAATTTAAGAGAAATTTAATTTAAGTCCTTGCTTATAAGCAAGCAGCTTTAGCTCATTGCATTACCACTTTAATAGAACAAGCTAAGGTGGGTAAATAGATTAAGCAATCCAAAACAGTTTATATTTATTTCTAGTAGCTTTATCTCTTCTTTTATACCACCAATGGAAGCCATGCCATGATTCTTAAAACTTTTTTTTAGGTCGTGAACCATCTTGAGCTAATATGGACACGTTCTCAAGGCTTCAACATTAAATCACAAGAACTTCTTTCTTCTGGCAGTTATTTTAATCCCGAATTTTTGATGCACAGAAACGAAATGCTTTTAAAAACAATTCCTTTATTCCCCAACCTAGATGAGAATTATTTGAACATTTTGCTCAGCAAGATGAGAATTTTATATTTCCAAAAAGGTACTGTTTACAGTTTTTACACTAATCGAAGACAATAAGTTCCCATATAGACGCGAAAAAAAAATGTGTTATGACGAAAAAAATCAGTTCTGGTTGTGTGTTCACGAAAATTATTATTGCAATTCAAGTTTAAGGTGAAAATAATTACTATTCCATGAGTGGCGATCGCGAAAATATTCAGTTCTGATTCTGTAACTAGGAAAACTGTAACTTTCAAAAATGTGCGAAGAAAAAATAACTAAGATTTTGTTCGTATATGAGGAGCAGACTTTCAAATCGCACTTTGTCCATATTTTCACTTTTTGACTTAGAGGTGGCGTTGGATTAGTCAAAACATCATTTATTAATTTACATACTCCTAGATATTCTAAACGTAATATTTCACGTATATTTTTGGCTTCAAAAATCACTTAGACAAACAAAACGCATTTTGTCCAGTAGCGAGAGACAAACAAATAGCGCTATTTTGCTTGCATTGCTTTTTTACTATTTAACGACTTTATTTTGCTCTGAGACGTTGATTTAGGAATCAACAGTATCTGATATTATTCGTGCTGAATAGGTTGTTTTTATAATAATAATAGGTGATAATAGTATTAAAATGAGTGAAGGTGAGCATATTGTAGGTGATACAAATAGAGGAACGAGAAAAAGAAAAATAAATACTACGGCAAAAGAACGTAAGAGAGAAATAAGGTAAACTAGAGGTTATGTTATAACAAGCCGGTACAACATGGCACAGAAAAGCGAATATTAGACAGTCGTGGGCAGACATGAAGAACGACTATGTAAGGGAGGCTGCACCATAATTGGTAGAATACGCTGATAATGATGATGATGATGATGATGAGAGGTTATGTTGTGTTTTTATGGTTTAATTTGTTTTCTTTTAGATATTCAGATTTAGATCCAGAGTTATTGAATTTTAAAAATAATTGTGTTCACAAATCAAAAAAATTTGCATGTACAGATCTTTTGTTGGCCGACATAAAAATTATTAGACAAAATTTCTATGATAATGAAGAAAAGAACAAAAATGCTCAGGATAACAAATTAGCACAGATGATGAATATTAAGGAAATAAAAAGGCAAAGAAAGAGAAAGAATGGTAAATCACATGATTTTAACATAGAATTTTATGTAAGTTTTTATTTAAATAAACCAAGCTTTAGCATCAGTACATATTTATTTTTCGATTACACTTTGTAAGGTCTCTAATTGAGTATTTTTTAGGTTTGGCATAATAACAAGAAAATCTTTGTTTGCCAAAAATTATTTTCCTCTATTTTTAATTGTGGTCCAAGAAGAATTCATACGATAGTGAGAAAAAAGATGCTTGGCACTAGTATAAAAGACAATCGTGGTGGAGACAGAAAGTCCAAGAAAAATGCGCTTAAATTAGAAAGTGTCATGAAATTTATTTCGTCTTTGAAGGGCCATGAAAGCCACTATGGTAGAGGCAAGTCAAGAAGAATCTATTTGTCATCTGAGTTAAACATAAAAAAGCTGTGGGAGATGTATAATAATCAGATTCCAGATAATTCACTCCAAACAAGTACTTTAGTCGAATTTTCAGCAATAAGTTTAATATAGGTAGATATTATTAAAAAATTTTTTTTTATTTTTTACTAAGTTGCCCGTTTGTTTTAGCCTTTGGAAGACCAGCTACTGATGTTTGTGACTTTTGCATAAGAACAAACACTGAGATAAATACCACCAAGGATGAAGAGCAAAGATTAAAATTAAAAATGGATTTAACTATTCATAAGACGCGAGCAAAGCAGTTTTTTTAAATCAATGAAAGAGGAATCTGCTGATAGCGTGACATATTGCTTTGATCTTCAACAGGTCCAAATCTTCCAAAGGCGCCTATTACGGAAGCATTCTATTCTCAGCAACTGGCTTTTTATGCATTTTGTGTGACAGATATTTTAACAAAAACTCCTGTTTTTTACACATGGCTTGAGCATGAAGCAGGGGGAGGTGTGGTAGAAATAAGTTCTGCGTTGACTGACTTTCTAAAAAAGACTGATTTTGACCCAGATATTAAACATTTAAGATTGTTTTCGGACGGATTTGGGTCAAAATAAAAATTCCCACATGGTACATGCACTCACCTTGTGGCTTTTGAATAATGCCCCAAAAACTATTCAAACACTTACGATGACATTTCCCGTTCGTGGCCATTCGTTTATGCCAGCTGATCGAGTTTTTGGTCAAGTTGAGCTAGATTTACGTGCCCATGCTTTTATAAAGTCACCAGAAAAATATTATGAAATCTATTCTAAGAAAGGACAAGTGCGCAAGTTGGGATCTGATTGCACTTTGTATGATATAAAACATGCAGCACTTTCACCCAAAAAAGTTATAGGTATCAGTGAAGCCAAAAGAATAATCATAACTCGAGGCAAACAAACTGCTGGGTAAAGTAAAATCTTGTATAAAACAGAGGTTTTATACAGAAATGATGACAATTCTAAAAAGTTTTCAAGTTTAATTCAACCAAAGAAAAAACTAAGTGACATAGTACTGAGGGAATTGCCAACGAAGAATGCTGTTAAGAAGAAAAAACTAGATAGCTTATCAAAATTTTTAGTTAGTCTATCAGCAAAGAATGGGCATTAGATCCACAAGTAACTTGGTTAGTTCCAATTTTGAAGGATCAGTATGGTGAAAATGTAATTGAAAAGGACCAGACCTGCGATCAATGTGAAGATGGAGAAGAATGCTGTTGTCTTCTGGAGGACGACATACATGTCATATGATTTTTTTACAACAGATATTGCTTTACAAACACGAATTTTCAGTTCATATTTTGATCTTAATCACTTAGGGAAAATAAAACCACATTTTGTCCTTCAAAGACAATCAAATGGCGTTTTGCCCATAATTAAAAATTTTTTTTTGAAAAAACTAATAAAGCTTGTTGTTTCTTATAAATAGGGTAAGTTGATAATAAAAAATTACATTTTTTCATATTTTTTGTTTTATTTTTAACTTTATTAATAATCGAGTAGCAGTTTTTCTCATTTCCTGAAAAATTTTTAAAATGGACAAAGTGCGATATGACAGTCTGCTCCTCATATAGTCTATATATAACTATAATCTTCGCTGGCACTTAGATGAAAAAATATTTTTCGCCAATAGCAGTCTAAAAGTAATTATATTCGTCGCAAATATTGCATAATAGAGTTTTCGTGAGTACGAATTAATATGAACCATGATATTACACTATAATTGTAGTATATGCGTTTTTCTTGGTTCTTAATATCGGATATAATATATTTAAAGTATTTTAAATTTTTTATGTATTCATTTTATGTTAACTGTATTTTAGGAGATTCCATCATCAGATATAAAGACGTAATGTCCGATATATACATAGTAGTTTCTGGCCAAGTAGACATATGTAACAAACATGGAGAACACATGTACACTTTAGGTCCTGCTGGAGTATTTGGTAATATTAGAAAAACCGCCAACAGCTCTAGTACACTCTGTGTGAAAGCGCGAAGAAACGTAGAAATATGGGCTTTAGATACAGAAACGTTTTTCAATACTATTAGTTACTATCCTATTGTGTTGAAAGACACGGAGCGATATTTTAAGGAACATACTAATTATTTGGTTGCCAAAAGTACTAGCCAGTTTGATTTTTTTGGTGAGTATCGATTCTAACAAAGTATGATATGGTGTTCAGATGTTATAGATAACATATAGGAACAACTTTTTTTATTAACAAAATTTTGGGCTGTTAGAGATGCACCCATTTTCCTTATAAGAAAACTAGAAATAGTTATTAAACAAGTCCCTTTATTATAAATAATTATGTTGATTTTAGTTTTTCTGCACACGGTATTTATATTTATTAAAACCTCAAATAGAAATTACTTCATAGAAAATGTTTATATAACAATGACCTACATAATAGATTATAAAACCCGAACACTCATATTTGTATGTTTTAACTCAATAATAAACTCTTCTTCTAGGTTCTTCAAAAGAATTGGACGATCTAGAATCAGATACTGAATCAACGACCAAAACTGGTGATATAACGATTACAGAAAAATGCGCTACAGATTTCTTTCTTCCAAACAAGTGGTTCAAATTTTCGCTCAATCCTGACCATATATTATTTAACGTAAGTGAATTAGAACAGTCTTATAATCTTTGCTTGACTGTCCCACTTTCTGATAATGCTGTTATTATAATATATTATTAAAATTATTGAGGACATACTACAATTTTTTTATAGTTCTTGGCTTGCTTAAATTTCTTATGTTTTCTTTGACTGTATTTTAATTTTATTTGCATTTCTCTACATACTTACTTGTGTGTGCTCTAATTATAATGTATATGTTACAAAATATTTTTAGGTAGTAGATATAATAACACTGTTAGCAAGTTTATTGAACATATACTTCATACCCTACGTATTTGTCACTCAAGACAGCTCCACATTTGGATTCCTTCACCTATGCTTAGAGCCGATATTTTACTTGAGGGTATTTATCAAATTACATAAGGCGTATGTAAATACTTATGGAAGCACGATAAATGTGAACTCAATTATATGCAAGAAATATCTAAACAATCCAGGAGAAATATTTTGGGATCTTATACCCAATTTACCTGTAGGCTTATTATGCTTCATTTTTCGTAGAGAAGAATGGTTTTTCTTCTATAGCTGTTTTAGGATATTGCATATGTTACGGTTCTATTATATTGTTAAATATTTTGATCAGGTAAGTAGAAGAGGTTAGTATTTTAGAGTGTATACGTATTGCGCAGATATTATCGGGCTTAAAACAGGTTGCAAAAAATCTGTAGAAACTTGCATACACTAGGATATTTTTCTTCTTCTTCTTCTTATTCTTATTCTTCTTCATCTTCTCCTTTATCTTCTCCTTTACCTTCTTCCTTTTCTTCTTTTTCTTCTTCATCTTCATCTTCTGCTTCATCTTCTTCTTTTTCATCATCATCTTCTTCTTCATCATCATCTTCTTCTTCTTTTTCTTCTTCCTGTTTATAAGCAATTCTTATGGATGAGCATGGGAGAAAAATTTGGTATTGAGATAAGGTGTGAATGGAAATGGAGATATAGCTGGTCTAGTAAGATTGAGAATATGATAGAAAAAAAGAAGGAGAAGATACAGCGTCAGGCTAAGAATTAGGCACTCGAGCCAAATTTTTGTGAGCAATACAAAAAATTGCGGGAAGAAGGATTAAACATGCGTAATTTCTAAAAAATTTACTAAAAATTCTGACTGTTCTAGTTTTTTTTTTCGATCTAACCAACAAAGAATTTGAGTGTTTTTTTTTGTAGCAGATTTAATGAAAACAAAATTCCCTTTCTGGATATTCGTTAGATCCAATTCAAAATATTTACCATCTTTAGTCTCAACTTCTATAAGACTATCATCTGATTCTTCGCAATAACTCTCAATTTCGCTTTCTGATGTCTCCGCATGAAAAACTTTGCGAATATGAGATTTGGATTTTTTCTTTTCTATATTGCTTGCCTTTTTTCCTGAGCCCGTTTCTCTTTTTCCTCCTTTTCTCTTATTTCATTTGTAGCGGTCAGAATGGTTGAATTTTTTTTTCTTTTTTCCTTTCACTTATTTTCACGGCCTTTGGGTAAGGACGAATTTGTTGTGGAATAAGTTTTACATCGGAAATAATTATACTTTTGTAACTTTCTTTTTCGGTAGTTAAAACTGGTTGACAATTATTGTTGACTTGTATGATGATGATGTAGAATGCATTTCTAGTGATGTATTTCGCTTCGATACATCACTGGTTATTGGTAGCTGAAGTGACTTCCGTAACTTCAGCTCATATTCTTGAAATCTTATGAGGAAAAAATATTTTTATTAAAGGGATAGCAACCAGTGTTTAAAAACCCAGAAATAATGTTTTTCCTATTAAATGCTTCATCAAAGGCTGGAGCTGTTAGCTGTGCAGTGTCATAAATTGTTATATATAAATTGTTATAGCTTTTTCCGGATGTGTAGACATTCATAAGTTGAATGCTGCATGACCACAATCCTTAAAAGGGCCAATAGTTACACATCTAGAGGTTGGAAACGATGTGTTGTGTGTGGACAAACGTTAATAGTACTAAACCATTTCCCTGCAATTTTCTTCTTCATCTTCTTCATCTTCTTCATCTTCTTCATTTTCTTCATCTTCTTCTTCATCTTCTTCTTCATCTTCTTCTTCATCTTCTTCTTAATCTTCTTCTTCATCTTCTTCTTCATCTTCTTCTTCATCTTCTTCTTCATCTTCTTCTTCATCTTCTTCTTCATCATCTTCTTCTTCTTTTTCTTCTTCCTTTTTATAAGCAATTCTTATGGATGAGCATGGGAGAAAAATTTGGTATTGAGGTAAGGTGTGAATGGAAATGGAGAGAACGCTGATTTTCGGTCTGTTTTCTCCCACCGGAAATTTAATTCTTTTAAAACTTGCCACAATTTAGTTCGTCCGATATTAGGCAAATCCGGGTCGTCTCTAACTTCTTGTAAAATTTTGTTTAGGTTTGGTATTTCTTTTGAAAAAAAAAATCCATGAATTTACCTTCGAATACCTTTTTTGGCAAATTTATCAATTTCAATAAGCTTTTTCCATCTCTTTAAGTGATCATTAGTGTTTGGGTTAGCTATACCGTGTTTTTTTCTTTCTGATAGGAACCTGTATATAGTTGACTCCTCTACCCCAGTCATGTTAGCACAACTTTCGACTATGTTGCGAACAGTGTTTGTGTAATTCTGAGAAACCAGAGCATCGTGAACATTCAGGGCAATAGTCTTCTCTCTTGGCTTACATAGACCGAACTCCTGTTCTCCAGGAACAGGAGTTCTCCTGAAACATCAAGACGAAGCAGAACTAATCTGACTTGACAATGGCAAGTGTGACCTTGCCGAAACGTCGTCAAAACAATGGTTTTTCTAAAAAACAAAATTACTTAACGCGGAGTCAAACCCGGAAAACAACTGAAATCACATATAGCTCCCGCGGAAATTTCAAATCCAATATATATATATATATATATATATATATATATATATATATATATATTATATATATATATATATATATATATTATTTTATTTGTGAATTTATTGGCAATTTTTCGAGGCACTGCGCAGTGTGGCTATAACACTGTTCAACTTGTCTAACATCTGCGCAAAACGGATATACCATATTTTACTACTCCAAACAAGGTCATTGTCTTAATTTCAGAAATTAAAAACATTGCATCAAAGTACGTGGTACTACCTAGCTAGACTACTTATCTGCTACAGTTCATTAATTCATATTTTATCCTGCATATGGTTCATACTGGCTTGTCCTTTTTTGAAGTGTTCCTCCGATTCATGGCTAAAACATTATGGGTATTTATAGCCTACAAAATTTAGTACGACCGATTTAAGACGTTATTTTTTTCATTCTAGACACGCCGTTTTAGATAGCAGCACTTCTTATAAACTTCTGCTGTCTTACTACTGCATTTTGAATAATTTAACGATAACAGGAATTGGTGATACGTATCCGGTAGCTTATTCGGAAGTTATTTTCACCATAATAACAATGCTTCTAGGTAAAATTGCTGTTGCAATGATTATAGGTAAGAAAAATATTATTTTAAGCATTACAACAAGTTTTAATATACCTCATATAAACCAAATTTTTATCAACCCTCAGAAATATGTAACATTAATCCACAAGATAGCCATGAAAATCAAGAGCAAGAATGGGAAACTGTTCAATCCCGCAAAAGAGCAACCAATGACAGCCCTAAAGACGATAAACAATTAAAACAAACAATAATAAGCGACTACTGGCTCAAAGCACCTACAACCATGTCTAATAAATCTGCTAGCTTAGATGAACTACCTCATGAGATCAACAAAACTGGATCTGGTGAAGACAAAAAAAGTATCCAACCCCCACCAATATTTGTTAAAGATGTAGGTAATATACGACCTCTTAGACATTTGTTAGAAACAATATCCCCACAGGGATAGTCCATCAAATGTCTTTATAAGGACCAAGTAAAAATCCAGCTGACAACCTCAGAAACATTATCGAAACATAACCAAGGCACTCAATGAGAAAAACACCTACCAAACAAAGCAAGCTTACCTTATCTGCAGTCTACTGTCCTCCTGGCCAATCCATTAACGAAAACAAATTTAATACCTATTTTAGTTCTCTTGGACACAAATTCATAGCAGGAGGAGACTTTAACTGCAAACATCACTACTGGGGCTCTAGGGTCATCACAACAAGGGGTGGACAACTACTGAAATCAAAAATGGGAAACAACCTACAATGTATATCTACAGGCGATTTAACTTATTAACCTACAGATCCAAACAAAACACCCGATCCCTTCCATGTCCGTGTGATTAAAGGTATATTTCTTAACTACTGCACAATATAATCATTCGTCAGACCATTCTTCCATTCTAATTGAACTAGACTATAAAGTCATACTTAGAAGTAAGCCTCCAGTCCTAACCAATAATCAAACAAAGTGGAACATATTTCAAAGTGCACTTACAGAACAAATATCAATGAAATTGCCACTCAAAACAGAAATACAAATTAAAAATGCTGTACAGTATCTTACTACTTCCATACAAACGACGGCATAGAGTACTACTCCTGAACAGACAATATGTAAGGAAAGCATAAATTGTTCTCTGAGTGCAAAAAATTGATTGAAGAGAAAAGGAAATTAAGGAGAAAGTGACAAAACACACACGCACCTATTGACAAAGCAAACCTAAACAGAATTACCAGAAGACTTAAAAATTTGTTGAAAGCGAAGCAGATACAGAAAAATCCGAGACATTCGCAGAACATCTTTCGAAAGTATTTAGAGCTGTAAATGCCTGTAGAACAAGAAGAACTACTCCATTCTTTTCTTGACGCTCCATATCCAATGGAAATACCAATCTCCCAATTTAACATTAAAGAAGTATAACAGATAATAAAAAATGAAAGAAAACCCGACAAGGCGCCAGGATACGATTTCATTACAGGTAAGGTCCTTCAAGAACTAACCCATCATTGCTACAGAATAATTCCCATGATGTTTAATGCTATGTTAAGTCTGCACGACTTTTCTTTGCAATGGAAAGTGGCACAGATTATACTCAAAAACCTGGTAAAGATCCAAAAGATGTCAACTTATACCAACCGATTAGTTTACTCCCAGTCATTTCAAAGGTTTTTGAAAAGATTCTGTTGAGAAAAATCAAACCAATATTAAACAAAAAAGATCTCATACCTGACCATCAATTCGGATTTCGTAACTACAATAGAACAAGTTCACAAATTAGACACAACAATAAAAACTAGTCTCGAAAACAAAAAAGCCTGCAGCCTTTTTAGATGCCTCTCAAACTTTTGACAAGGTGTGGCACACAGGACTTCTGTACAAGTTAAAGAAAAACCTGCCTTACACTTTCTTCACACTGCTTAAATCATACCTTACAGAAAGAAGATATCTAGTAAGGTATATGAAGCCCACACAAAACTCTACCCCATCAAGTCTGGTGTACCTCAGGGTAAAGTGCTCGGACCAATCTTATATCTGTTATATACGGCTGACTCACTAACAAGCAATAACCTTACTGTTGCATCATTTGCAGATGATACTGCTTTTCTAACATCGCATGATGATCTAATGAATGGTTTAAACACTGCAGAATTAAAGTAAATCCCTCAAAGTCCACACACATTACATTTACTTTAAGAATAGGTATATGTTCACAAATTAACCTCGATGGATATCCTTTATCCCAAAGGATGACGTAAAATGTCTAGGAATATTATACAGAAAACTTTACTGGATGCTGGGAAAAACCTCACACCTATCAATCGACAACAAGCTGCTAATATACAGTTATAATAAAACTCGTTTGGTCATATGGTTCGCAGCTCTGGGGATCATCTAGCAAATCTATTGTTATGAAAATACAAAAATTTCAATCTAAAACTCTAAGAACAATCGCTAATGCCCCTTGGTATATTCACAATCACGCCTTACATAGAGATCTGCAGGTACTAACAGTCTCTGGGGAGTGCAAATGAATGTCTGAATAATATCAAATCAGGTTGGGCGTGTATCCTAATACCCTGGCATACAACCAACAAGCTAATAGATTAAAGCTGTGTGATCCCTTCGACATACCAAACCGTTCCTGACAGTGCCTACAGTAGTGGAAGCTACACCTTCAACAGCGCCCAGCCATTGTGATCTGTGACAGTATTCGTATTCGTGTATCTGTGTATGTGCGCATCCCACCGGTAAACAGGCTAATATTTGTGTTATGATGCTTCTGTCACTGGACCTTACATCTCTCTGACATTGTAAAGAAAAACAAATTTGCATATTTGCACTTTTTTGCATATTTGCAAAGTATAATAATCAGAAGAAAACAAAGCATAAACTTGTTAACGTGTTAAATAAAATACAAAAAAAACTTTTTGAGGGATTTTTTGAAGACTGTTTTATTTAAAATCTTGAATATAGCTTCATGCAAAAGGAAAAGTGTGCCAGTTTTACACAAATAACAATTTGATTTCTCTGCTGTAAAGTTTCGAATTTGGTTTGCACCGACTTTACATTCTCAGGTGCACAGTTATTTTTAATTCATTTTGTATAAAACTAAAAATTGTTGAGATGATAAAGTTTTAAGCATTTTTAAAGCATTTTAGCGTAATTATGCTAAATGAGGCCAATTGTGTCGCAAATTCCTCGGCAGAATGTAGTAGGATCTGGTTACCAATATTGAAAGAGGAAGTTATTAATAAGAAAATACCAGTATTAGTAAGTCAGTAACATATAGAGGATACATCATTTATGTTTTTTTAAATAACGTAACATATAAAATCAGAATTTTGATCTTTGTTGAAGATAAACTAAATTCACGAACAAATACTTACAATGTTGGGATAGTATTATGAGGTTTTTTTCCTGGTTTTTCCCTCATAATTTACTATGGAATCACTAACAGGAGAATTTTACTGTCATCATGTCATGTGTTTGTCTTTTTAAAGACGAATTACATGCTATGATTTTTTCTGACGGATATTCTCAAGTTAAAGTTGATTTCATGTAATCGAATGAACTATCTTATAAGTAAAGTCGTTCCAGGAGCGCAACTCAACAATATTGGCAATATCATTTTAAAGTCGTCTACTTTAAAATGCATAATGTATGTCTGAATTGTCAATATAAATGAGTCAGATAAAATTAAATCATTAGAAGAATTTTTCACTATGTAACAAAAAACAAAATTTGTTTAATTTACTGTTTGTATTTTGAGAACGATTTCAGAAGTGGAAATTGAAACGTCAATAAACGTATTTTTATCTTTAATTGTGGCTTATTCCCAGTTTATTAGTAATTAATTTACAATGCCACAAGAAAATAGCTTCAGAACAATATTAAGAAAGATTTTATTTTTTAGGAACAATATTAAAAATTATATACCTATCAGAAAAGAATCTCATGGATTTTAATATGAAGTATATATCACTGAAGACTCATCTCCAATCTAAAGGAATCTCAGGTATGATTACTAATTCATGAGTTTTTAAAAAGAAGCTTAAATGAAGAGCCAGTAGAAAAAAAGTCACATCTTGTTTTTATACTGCCAGATAATCACCGTTTACACAAATTTTTATTATATTTAAGCTGCAATTATACCAGTTTCGTTCTTAAAAGAAATGTGATTGATAGCTTCCATAATGTCATGCATTTTATTCAAACAATAATAAATTGTTATTAACCCTTTATAGGGCAGAATTATTTTTTGGTAATATAAACAAATTCTTTGCAGATTATAGATAAGGAATGATCCGTTATTGAACTTTCATTCGTATTTTAATTTTATTTTCACTCCTTGTTGTTTTTTTTAGGTGGTTGAAATTTCGACCACAGCCTGATTAGGTATGTTGACTTTGGTAAATGTAGTTGTGGTTCCATAATCGACCACGGAAAAAAACACATTAACTAAACATTTTTATTATGAAATAATGGAAAACATTGAATACATAATGCAACCTGGCAATCTGAGCATTTAATACTTGAACGTTTTGGCTTTGTTCTCGTTGAACAGAGTGCACAACGTCTTGATGTTCCTTTTTCTGGCATGTGATTGCCAACATCGCTTAGTCTCACCGTGCTTTCAACGCTAACAGAATTAGTGGTTGCTCCCATTTTCTTCAGTTTATTTCTTCCTATTGTTACCTTAGGTCCTGCTCTCTTTCTGTTATAGAAATCACCTATGAGCTCGTTGGCCAATACACTTCTAAAATACAGGTGACTCATTGGTTTCGATTTAATGGACCTCATTTTCATTGTAGTCTTATAAGTTATATATGAATTTACCACTGCTGCATCAATCAAATAGTAAATAATCTTCATATACCATCTTCGGGATTTCCATGAAATTGGATAAGAAGCATGAAGTTGATCGAATAGATCGACTCCACCCATATAGCGATTGTAATCACTTATGGCTTTTGGACACTTAACACTTTCTTGTTCACCATTCGGTTTTCTTCGCAAAACTGAAGTAATCTCAAGTGGATTATGCATAGTACTGCCGACTAAAACGCATTTGCGCCCCCATCTTTCCATTTAACAACAGACATATCATTGGACATGAAATAATCGTGTTCTCCCATTTTCATTGTTTTGTCCTTTCTCTATTGTGTTGGAAAGCCTTTACGATTTATTCTAAAAGTTCCACAGCAGAACAAATCATAGGTTAACATTTTCTTAAGAAGAGGAAAACTCGAGAAAAAATTATCGAAATAAATGCAGTAGTTTGCGCCTCTAAGAGACTCGGTAATGTCTAATACCGTTTTAGCGCCTAAACCATATTCAGCATGTTGTGATTGAGATTTGCCTTCATATATGCTAAATTTGTGCACGTATCCAGTTTCGGAGCATGCAACGACCTAAACTTTAAAGCCTCTTTTTATGGGCTTTTTCGGTATATATTGTTTGAGAGAACTTCGCCCCTTGAAAGCAACCATACTTTCATCTACCGCAACATTTCTACTTGTATAAAAGTTCTCTTGAAAGCGTTGCTGCAGTTCTGTTATCAAAGGCCTTACTTTGAACAGTTTGTCAAAATTGGGGTGATTTTGATTTCTTTCCATGTTTTCGTTATTGTTTAGATGGAGAAAACGAACGAATTTTTAAGAATCGTTTTTGCGTAAAAATTTGCGAAACTCTTGGCACGTGCATGTTAATATCAGTTGACCAATAATGTCTCAAACTAGGTAGTTTATGAAACCCCATGATTATAAGAACCCCTAGAAATGCTTTCAGTTCTTCCTCAGTTAGGTCGAGATTATTATGATTTTGTTGTTGAGCATAGAGATTTGACTGTGTAATTATATTAGCTATAATATCTTTGCTCATGAACAAAGAAAACACGTCGAATGGTGAATTTATATTGACCGGTTTTGCTGGGCCAAATGGTCTGGTAAACGGCGCATTCGAATATTTTTGTGCATCAGAAGCGTTCTTTGTCCATTTATATGTATCATCGCACTTTACTGTGTTCTCTTGGTTCTCTTCTATTTCGTCTTCGCCTGAGGAAGTATCGACGTCGTCAAAAATGCGATTTGTTCTTACCTGAGGGTGGAAAGCTATATCATCCATTGAGTCATCTGAATCAACATCAAGCAATTCAACCTTGTCATCATTAGACAATGAAGTAATAGTCGCGTTGGATGCAACCGACGTTCGGTTGGAAATAGGAAGATTATCTTCTGCATCAGATTCACCCTCAAAATCTGAATTTATGGCTTGTTGATATGGAATACCATCTATGTAATCATATAAATCATCCTGAGTCATATTTTGTAAATTTTCAAGTATATTGCGGTGTTCCATTTTACTGCAAAAGATACGTACATTGTTGTATACAAATACTTGAAAAATTTAATTACTTGATCTACCGCACAGCAATTTAATTCTTGGAAATATTATTCAAGTAAGTCAGATTTACGTAAAAAAAGAATATAATTGTATAGATTTAAAATAAACAAGAGTGAAAATACATTTCAATAGAACAATTGTAAAATCAGCATGTGCTACTTTGAGGTTATGTTTAGTAAATCAAGATATATCATCTTAGCGCCAATAAAATCTGAATAGATAATAAAAGACCATAATACTGTGATGTGTTACCTTGAGTTTGATGTATAAATCTTTTGTAAATTATTTTTCTAAATTTTACAAACGGCAAAAACCTGTGATCACGTTCAACGGTAACTTACAGAGTATGATGGGTTGTGGTTGGCGAATCGACCACATTGCTGCCACGTTGCCGTATTTTGTTCTGTGGTGTTCATTTTGGGTACAATTCATTTACAAACACTGAATTTGCACTTCGGTAACTTTTCATGTCAATTACTAGCTCATAAGTATTAATAAGAGCAGTGGTCGAAATATCGACCACAGACCTATAAAGGGTTAAGTTTATTATTTATATAATAATTTATCTACAAAATAAATAATTGTTTGCGCATTCTGGTCGAAATACTATACTTCTAACTATATTAAAATACGATATCAAAGGTTGTATTTCATTTTAGATTACCCCCTAACGAAAGCTGATAAATATTTGAAGAATTTGTGGATGTATTCTGATAGAATACTAAAGACAAAGCTATTAATAAACATGCCATACTCTATTCAACAAGATCTAACCAGTGCTCTATATGAGACTCAACTACGAAAAGCTTACATATTTAAGGTATTTTAAAATATATTGTAACAATTATTGTAGTTAATTACACTCTTTGCTAACACTAAAAACACAATTAATTTATAATATGTATTTACTTAACTCCACTGGAAAATATCTCCTATTTATATTTTGAGCCTATGGCCCTTCCAGAAATCTCTCGATGCCGTTAAATCTTAAGTCGTTCGAGCTGCTTCTAGGATGCATTTGAATTCTCGCGTTAGAACACGTGCACTTGAATCGTTGATTCGAGTCCATTCCATTATAGAACGATTATAGGCATAACAACGGCAGGGGTAACAATGTTAATTAAACCTGTAATAGTGTATTCTTCTCATATTGATTACCAAACTATCTGTAATATTTATTATGGCCCCTATTTATGACTCCTATTATGTTAGGTTGATTATATAATTTCTTTAACTCATCATTTGATCTTCTTATCCATAAACCGTCCCTTATTTTTCCTCCTTATATCTTCCACAGGATTTTCCTTTCCCATATCTCCAGTAGATTTTGTTCATTTTTGTCATTGTCCACGTCTCACTGCAGTATGTTGCTATTGGTTGTATAGTTGTTTTGTATAACTGGATTTTTGCCTTTCTTGATAAAAACTTGCTTTTCAACATTCCACTAAGAGCATGTACACTTCTATTGCCTGCCATTATTCTAGCTTGTATTTCTTCTTTAATGTTAGGTTTACGTGATATTATTGTACCTAGGTATGTAAATCTTTCCACCACTTCGAATTCGTATGATAATCTTTCTTCTACTTCTACTTTAAACTTTTGTCCATCCCTAAACTGATCATCTGTCCACTGGATACATTTTGTTTTAGTTTCATTTATGTAAAGTCCCATTTTCTTTGCTGCTTTTACTATTCTCTGTACTATCTCCTGTAGCTCTTTTTTCCTCTTGCCAGCAACACTATATCATCCGCAAATGCCAAAACTTGGTGTCTTTTATGATATAGGAGTCCTTCTCTATTAATTCTCGCTTCTCGCATTATTTTTTCTAGGCATAAATTGAAGAGTAATGATGACAAAGGATCGCCCTGCCTTAATCCTTCGTTTACTATAAATTTGCCGATGTATGATTGTTGACTTTGACTCTGTTTTCTGTATTCTCTAAAGTAAGATGTATCATGTTACGCAACTTTCTGCTAACTCCCAGTTCCTCAAGGGTCTCTTTTAATTCCTTCCTTTTTATTCTGTCCTATGCTTGCTGGAAGTCGATGAATCGCACTATCGTTGGTAAGTTGTGTTCATAGCTTTCTGCTTGTAACTCTCTTATTATGAATACTTGGTCCGTTGTGCTTCTCCCTCGTCTAAATCCACACTGGTATTCATATTTTCAGCTTCTTTTTCCAGCTTATCTTTTATCGATTTTGATAGGATTTTATATATGGTATTTAGTAACGCTACTCCTCTGTAATTACTGTATTCTGTTTTGTCTCCTTTTTTGTGTAATGGACAAATAATGGCTTCCTTTCAATCTTCTGGTATTCGTTCTTTTATCCATATCTCTTTTATGATCTTGCATATCCAATTATTTAGCAGTTTTCCACCATATTTCATCATCTCTGCTGTTTTGTTATCACTTCCAGGGGATTTGTTATTTTTCAGATTTTTTATGATTTCCTCGATTTGTTTTTTGCTGGGTGAATTATCTTCTATGTCGTCTATGTGTTCAATTCTTGCTTCTGCTTCCATATATTCTCTTTGGTTTGACTTATTATTACCATTTAGTAATTCATCAAAATACTCTTTCCATCTTTCGACTATTTCTGCTTCCCCGCTTATATTATTTCCTGCTTTGTTTTTAACGAATATGGGTTTTTGTTGGAAACCTTTTTTTTCATTTCTAGCACCTTGATACAGGTTTTTTATTTTTTATTTCTGTAATTCTCTTCTATTTCTTTTAGCTTATTTTCTATGTGTTTTCTCTTCTTTTCTCTCAGCACCCTCTTTACTTTTTGTCTTTGCTCCCTATATCTATTCTTTGTCTCTATTGTTTCTTTCGTGATCATTTCCATCCTTAATGATTTTCTTAGTTCTATTTCTTTTTGGCACTCTATGTCGAACCAGTCTTTCATCTTTTTATTCTCTTGTTTATCACATTCTTTTGCTGCTTTGTTCATTATTTGCTTTATGTTTTCCCATTTGTTCACAGTTTGCTCTTCTATTTGTATCTTTTTTAGTTCTCTTTCCATTGTTTCCTCATATATTTAAAAGTACAATGAATTAATAATAAAATAATTAAAATTAAAATCAATTGGTTCTTTCAAAACAACTCTTAGATTGTGTAATGTAAACATAGCAAGAAAATAAAGAATAGAAAAAATACGGGCTAGTAGCATAAGGGAGAATAATAATCATTCAATTAATTATTATATATTCCATATTAAATACAGTAACGTATACATTTTTAATTATACAAAAAATAACACTTGACCTAGTTTGACACAAGCCCGAATATTTAGGAATTACGAAATTTGAAGATCTTCGTGAAAATGAATACAACGAAGCGACACACCATCGCATGTTACATTCCAACACGTGGAACAGTACAGCAAAATCAGCAAAATAAACTAGGAATGTTCGCGGGACATAAAAAACTAAAAAAATTGGTCAACCAGGCAGTCAGTAATAGCGGGGCACCGTGACTGGCCGCTCAGGCAGTATTGCCGGCATCGGGTCGGACGCGATAGCGTCCCGTACGCACAGGCAGTCGGTGTTTCGGGCAGGGTTGTTAATACGAGAGTCGGCACCAGGTGCGGATTACGCGATTGTTATATTTCGACGGGGTATAGTTCCGTATAAGTGTCGGGTACTGAAGAAATCCGATTTCCAGAGGAACTGAAGGGCGTATCATTAGCTAGAGCCTAAATACGCGAAAGGTAACAAAATTCTATATACTAACCCGAGTAAATTATAGTATTACAGATTGTCACCCCTTTACTTTCTTGCTAAGATCTCTTCTCGTCTCCCTTCGCGCCGAACGAGTTATTATTAATTATATCTGACAGCTTGTTAACTTAATTGTAAACCACATAGTATATTCAATACATTTGTAGACTCTAAAATTGGTTTTTATGTTCCTTCCGACCGATTCAGACAGAGACCAGAAGAGTACCAAATTTCGGCTTATACATTTATCCGGCTTCTAAAGTAAGCCCATAGACTCAAACTCTTTACAGGACCTGAGACCTAGAAGTTCTTAACCCCTATTCCGAAGTTCCTTACCTTCTCGTAAATCCACGAAGGCGAGCCAGCCTCCAGACTAGTGGGACCAGTATTCCTTGCAGCGCCGCTCGCAGGGATAAGCATCCTTTAAGGTTCATATCGAGTACATTACAGTGGTAACAGCGGAGCCCCAGTAGTTGTACATTTGGCGACAGTGGTGTTCCCAGTACTTTACAATTGCAAATCGGTCATTTTTCATATTTTTAAACAAATCGCTAAATTAATATTTCCTTTCGAATGTTAAACAAGCATTTGAAACAGCGACTTGACAGTGAGAAGCATTTTCTTGTGACACGAATCAGCCAGATAATGCGTCCCGCGAGCATGTTAAAAACCGCATTTCAAAACGCTTTAAAAAATCGCGCACACACATCCACGCCATAGACGTACATATTAACATGTTAAACATATATATACGTCTATGGTCCACGTATCAGTATTGCCACGTATTGCCCTTGCGCCTTACTATTTTCACTTGCGTTGTATTTTAAAGTAAATAAATATTTTTAGGACATCGACCAAAATCTGTTACGTCAGATATGCACCAAACTACAAAAAACTGTATACTTCGAAAATGACTACATTGTAAAAACAGGCGAGGTGAATTCAACGATGTACTTTATAGAAAAAGGTAGCATCTGCGTTCTGACAAAACAGGCCGATCACTTGGAATCGACACATGCCTTGCTTCAGTCCAGAGACGTGTTTGGAGTGTCTCAAGGATTGAACCTTGAAGAATATCATCATTTTTGTTACAGAGTCGCTAGTTTAGTGGTCGAGTTACTGGAATTGAAATTTAATGATTGGGAATATTTGCTGGAATTTTTCCCGCGAGATAAAAAGCAGATTTTTGGCAAGCATACTAAAGAATATTACTAAGTGTAATTGTTCGTTTAATTACTAGAAAATATATTTGTATTGCGTTACACTACTGTTTTTTATTTATAACTTTATTTATTGTATATAACCTTTTATAAGACTCGAATAAATTTATTCAAAAAAGAACTTTTAACTTTGCAAACTTATGGTATTTAAAACATTATGGAAAACTGATAAAATTAAGCTTAACCTGAATAGAATTTTTCTTCTCCTTATTTGCTTTGACCTGACGTCTATAATCAATAGAGAGCAAAATATATGCATAGAGATGCATATAATGTATATTTTTGCTCATTTCCAACAATATTACATATTTATATACAATTTTTCTCGATTCTGCTCAAATTTAAAGAATAAGTCGTCGCTACACATACCTGTTAAGTTGATTCCGTTATATTAATGACACTTTTGTCATCTGCAGCCATAAGAAATGAACCACCACTTTAGGATAAATTGTATTTAAAAGATCGCTAAACACAGTTTTTAAAGTTTATTTATAAAATAAATGTCACAATTTTCACAGAAAATATATTTAGTCTACACATTTGTCTGCATCAACCAAACAACGGTTCTTTACGATTTGTGTGAAGTAGTCCGCGGATTTTCTCTTGATTCTGGGCCTTTCAGGATCGTTGAAATCAACTTTGTACATTCCCAAGAATGATCTGTGGAGAGAATAAGGCATTAGTTTGACAATATGTACATTAAAAAGTGAAAAGTGAAGATACAGTGCAACGGATAATGTGAAATTGAAGGGACCAAAACAAATATTTAATGTTTAACTCTGAAGCTAATTTTGAGATTGTGATTGATAATGACGTGGAATGAGAGGTAAAATGGTTTAAAAGTACCAAATAAGGCATAGATACTGGCGACCTAAAAGAGATCTCTGGAGAATACCATAACCACCCGCAATATCGTATGAACATACCAACCACAAAGTATTCATTATGGAGGTGGTTCACTGATACTATCCTGATACTTAATTAGATCTTGCTTCAGCAGACCTGATCATCAATACACTAAAACCATCGTCCCTTAGTCTTTACCTGTCTCGAGAAGAAGTTAATGAAGCAACCATTAGGACCGGTCTAAGGAAAAAATCAAGGCCTTATCAAACGGATGACTGGCTATTTAAAAACAAATCATATACGATCGACGAGGCCTCCAACAAAGCGTTGAGAGCTGCTGATTTCAAGGCGTATCACAGATATAGAAAGATATGCTTTTAGCATCAAGGTCAAGCGACTGAGATATTTCAGGATAAATAGACTTCAAAATATCATCGGGTGTGATGCGAATGCGCACCCCCTGACCTGTGGTACTACAAACATCAATGAAAAAAATGAGTCATTAACTGATTATCGCAAGGCTCTGACTTAATATAATAAGGAACAGAGAAGTGCAAAAAGACAGTTGTAGAGGAGGCATTGCAAGGAAATAGAACAGACTGCATAAAGTACTCTCAAAGAATGTATCCTTAGATACACTTTCTTGAGTCTGAAACAATACTGATACTACTACTAGACACATGGCATCAGACTAGTCTGGAGACCATGACTTGTGGTTATAGGGAAAACTTGCGGGTAGAAATCAAAAAAGAAGTGGTAAATGCTGAAGCAAAGAGAAAGTTAGATGGACTATCTTAGAAAAAGCGCTAGAATATCAAGGTGCAACGAATCAATTGGAGATAGATAAAATGACAGAGACACGTTAATTGATAGAATAGAAATGAAGAGTCTTAAGTGTTTTGGACATCTTCTACACATAGAAAAAATTAGATGGCACAGTAGAGTATTTAGATGAAATCCACCAGGAAGACGTAAAAAAGGAAGATTAAGATTGTACTGGAGTGGAAATATCAGCGCAGGTACTTGGAGAAATAGAACGCTCAAGACAAGCAAAGATGGCGATTAGATGTGGGAATGCAGTGTTAGCTGTGTAAATCAACTAATATATAAATGCTCTGCTGTTTCAATTGTACATTTAAAAAATAAAGCTGAATGTTAAAAATGATTTTTCCTTATTATTTTCATTAAATATCCTCAACAGTTTTTTTGTCACTAATAAGCAAAGACCATAGGGATGGATTCATTTTCGCTATAAACATTTATGAACTAAATGTAATTCTTATTTTTGAAACCATGGAACCACCCTGTACTCTCATTGAAAATTGGTTTCCTTTTGACTATAACAAACTTTTCTGGTATTCTCAGAGTACAAGATAACTGATGAAACATTCTTGCTCATTTTTTCCTTCGATTCCTGAACTGTTTATAATTTTGTTTTTTTTTTTGTTTTTGACATCTCAAAGACACTAATAAGTCATGAATTATGAATTGTATTGTCAGAAGTCGAAACAGCCTTGAGAATATTGTGCTTAAATAATTGGAAAATTAGGATAGAAAGATACAGGGTGTTTCAAATATGACTCCCATACGTTGGGAATTTGGTTCAAGGAGTTTAACTTTTCAACGATATGTTAAACTCCTTGATTTTGAAGATATGCTAAAGATGTACGAAGATTGTTTAACAATTAAGAATAAAATTTTAGGGTTATATATCAAGATCCTACTTCATGGCAAACATTATTGCGAAAATTCTGCGAAAAATTATAACTATAAAGTAAAAAAATATATACTACTACTTACGTGTATCCACCTCCCCATTCCCAATCGTCAATGATACTCCAGGCAATGTAAGTACTAAGATTGACATTATCTTCATAGATAGCATCCAAGCAGTTACTGATGTAATCCTAGAAGTAATAAATTATTTAAATTATATAATGAAAGTAGCAATTCTGATATTTTACGGAGAAGTAAATTCCATACTTACTCTAAAATAGTCAACTCTATGGTCATCTTCTAAAACTCCAGTACTATCGGATAAACCATTTTCAGTAATAATAATCTCCCGGTCATTGTAGGTATCCTTCAACCAAACAAGAAGTTTCCTTAATCCCCATGGAACAATCTAAAATATAAAAATAATGAATTGGTTGCATATATAAGTAGATTTCTAACAGGGTTGTAAAAATAAATTTAAGACTTACTGACAATCTTTTTTATTTAGCTTAGAACGAGTGGTTTCGATACAATTTTCTGGTCATCTTCAGGTCCCCAGACAAGTTAAATTGAAATGATGCCGGTCTAACAATAATCTTTGTACGGCATTCTTTTAATTTAACTTGTCAGAGGCCCGAATATGACCACAAAATTGTAGTGGTTGTAATCGGTAAGCTGAACTTTTACCAATTTTTAATTGCCGATTATATTCAAATTTTTGTTGTTTATATACTTTGGACAAATCGGGATCCTTAGTGGCATCTGCAATGTGTTTAATAAGAAAAGATTAGATCTGTAAGACCTTAATTCATTATTAGTTTGTCTACTTTACTAAGAAGGACGTTATGACATTCTCAAAATTAACCAAAAACAAGTGAAAGTCACCCTTACCCGATGTGTATACAGTTAAAATATTGGTTTTTTAAAGGGACATAAATTGCACAAAACTCCAAACTTTGCTCTACAATATATTCATTTAGATTAAGAGAAGAATACATAAGATTTTCTTTTACACAAATTGCAACTCCACCTTGTTTACTAGAATATAAAACATTATTTCTTTTTCTTATAATGCTTTTCCCTTCAATAAATTTTAAGCCATCTGTCCTTTTTTATTTAATTTTAAATGTGTGTATTGGTCGTCCTCCTTCGCTCTTTTCTAAAGCCTTGTAATGCAGAACCTGTCTAGCAGTGGTTGTTGATGGTTTTTTAATCTACGATCAATTCATCGCCATTTATGTTTCCTACTTTTAGTTTCCTTATTTTTTATTTGCGAATATCTGTAGTTTTTCACTTAGGATTCTATGGAGCCAGAATATTCTACATGTAAAGCATAACCGTTGTTGTTTATAAAAAATTGTAATCCGACAGAAAGTTCGCTCACGGTACTTGTAAGTGTATGCTTTATACAGTAAGTCCACTGGTTTGGAAGAAATGCAGATTTCGTGTTTTATGATCTTATTAGAAGACCAGACTTACCACAGTGGGTTACAAAAAAATTGTGCAAGGCTTTCCAGATATCAAGACGCCCTTCTATTTGTTATTTTTTGTTAGTTGTTTTATGTATTTGTTAATTCGACTATTTTTTACATGTCATACAATCTAGAAGTTTTGTTCTGATTATATTGTCTTATTGAGATCATAAACCATCAGCAAATTGTCTTCTGTAAGTCTCATTATCCAGTCTATGACATGACTGACTTCTATAAGCAGTATTACTGGTATCACCTATCCTTATCAAACTAAATATACATACCGAGAACCAATCTCCATTGCCTTTTGGCCATTCAGGTCTAGCCCATTCCAGAGCACTAATATCGGATCCAAAGCTGGGATTTCCGATGGGTGCTTCGCTGGTTCCGTTAGCCATGTGAGTGGCATAATGGTTTAGAGCAACGAAGTCTCCAGTGCCTTTGATGTAATCGATTTCCTCTTGCGTCCAAGCTGGAAGACGGGACTGTTTGAATCCTTCCTTCTCGCTGCGCATGGCTACACGGTCTTTGACGAGTTTGGGCCAATCTCCGTTGAAGATGGGGTTACCGTACAGACCGAACTGCAACAGATTAATAGATATCCATTAAAAATGCTCCCTCGAGGAAAATTCATTTATCTTTGTCTACTTACCCCAAATTGTAACAATCTTTCGGCTGCATCTTTATCTGCATCACTATCACTGCCGGGTTCAAACCAAAGAGTGTCAATTACCATAGAAACTTTTCCTAGAAAAAAATAAAATTCGATATAAAAGTATAATTAACTATTCAATTAACAAATCTTATGCCTATAGTTTATTTTTATGAACGAGAGAGTAATTAGCATAATTTTAACTGGTATTTCCGACCACTCCATAGGCGTGCTCAAGATTAATTGAAAAATTACTTTGAATAATTGTAAAAAATAAATGAATTATTTCAGTGTTATAAAGTGTTATGTGTATGTAAACAAAAGTGACCTCTTTTATCACACACTATATTAGAACTGACTGGCCTACATTAAAAAGGGTTTTAAAAAATTCACATTTTTTTAAATTTTTAAAAATTACAAAAGTTTTTAAAACCGTCTAAGGTATGTTAAATAGATGAATAAAAATATTAATATAAAACTTACAGCTACTTGTTACAAATCCAAATCAGATTCAGAAGATGAACTTTCAGAACCAAGATTTATAATAACTGGCTCGATCATTTTATCAGTAATATTGTCCAGCTTCCACATTTTTTCCTCTTCTTTAATAGTGTGATTTACTGCCTTTTCCCAGTTTTCAGGTTTTACATTATTTACGGCCTCCAAAAACAACTGTTTAACATCATGAATTTTAAAAGTGGTATTTTTTCTTGAAACTTCACTCTTTTATCTGTGTCCATACCAGTTCAATAGGGTTTAATTCACAATGATATGGTGGGGATCTAAGTACTGTCATTCCACGATTTTGGCAATTTCATGAATTTCGTATTTTTAAATTTTTCTTTATGAAGGGCACACAACGAATAAAGTTCCTTTCTTATAGATCCGGGATGGTACGTAATATTTTTTGAACTCAGCCAATTCTGCAAGTCTTTTTTTAAACCACTTGGTTTTGGGCAGTCCTTCTATAAGTCTGGAGTGATAACTTGCATTATCCATTACTATTACACAGTTCTTAGGAAGAAGATCTATCATTTGTTCGAACCATTCTTGAAAGACATCAGCGTTCATGTCTTCATGGTAGTCACCGGTACGAATTGATTCAAAAGTTAATAAACCACCTTCAACAAAACCGTCTAAACTGCCAATGTGTACTATTATCAGAATGCGTCCTTTCCTGATGGTGGGTTTAAACCAGTAGATAAGTTATTTACAAAAGCGTGCCTTTGACTTGTAACAGTTTCATCCTGCTAAAATTTATTTGGTGTATGACCCTCGTTGATCCCATGTTTCATCAAGATAAAATATTTTTCTTTTTTGGTTTCTCATTTCCTTTATAGTTCTTAGAAAAATGTCTTCTCCATATGACAATATCGCTTCTTTCTAATAAAATAGACTTTCTGGGATTCTTTTTCCAGCGGAAGCCTATTTCTTTTAAAAGTTTCCATAACGTACTTCGACTCATTTCTGGGTAATCTTATCATCTCGAACTGAGACAAGAACTTTATCCAATGTTGGAAATTCTTGTCTAAAGAAGAATTCATGCACTTTCCGTCGAAGTCCTTCTTTAAAATGATATTCTATTTGAAATTTTGGTTTCCCTGGAGCATTACGTGGCATTTGAAAAACTACCTACATTTCTCTTCTTTAATAACTCTGTAAATCGTAGATTTCCCAACACCAAGTGTACTGCTAACTAACTCAACGGTCTCATCAACACTTTCACATAAACGTTTGTCTGTAAATGATTTAAAACAATTAAATATTAATGTTTTTTCATTAGCTGTTAAAGGACCAATTTTTCGGCGTTTACACGGCACTTCCAAATTTTCCATAACACTAGTATACACAATAAACTGCACCTTGCAACTGAAGTACCTACTTTTAGTGAACTGTTAAGAATTTTGAATACGCCACTTGGACCTTCCTACAAAATGGAAAAACCCACTATCAAATTTTCTGTGGAATAAGTTTAGAAGGTAATTATCTAGTCAATTACTGTCGTAGATTCCTGGAATTAAAGAATTAAATGTTTGATTGTTGAAACCCTTACTTCGTGGAATGCACTCATTTCAGATAAAATAAAACGTTTTATTTTATCTAAAGAATTAAACTTTATTTTGCAAATAGGTAGGTACTTATTAAACTTTTATTGGTTATATATAACCAATAAAATAAACATCTTAATTTCTTGAAAATTCATTAGTACCTGTTAACCTCCATCACTCCGACACTGGCAACCTATTTAGGGATTAGTAACCCTCACAACTATTGTATTCTATTCTGCTCCAACCTTTATACCTGGTGGTCATACTCAATTTAAAATTGTTTTCCTATATACTTCTGTAAACTTGTTGACAAATATCTGTTTTCATTGAGCCACCCGTATCAACAGTTTAGGGATTTGCATACATAATTTATTGTTTTATTACTCTCTCATACATAAAAATACACTATAACTAATGCCGATAGATATATAATATAAATAGACTGACTGTTGCAATACAGACCACTTAAATAACCAATGGGAACGAAATCAAAATCAAGTTTTTTAAAAAATATGCTTTCATCGGGAGCCATAGTGGCGCCATCGGGATTTATTGAGGTATTTTTCTACATTAATCAGGTGTTTTAATGATTTTCTTATTATCTCAGTAAAGTTTTCTTCTCTCCTTCTATATCCTTTATCTTTTGTAAGGATGTGGTAACGTTATGATATTTGACGAATGGTTGCTATCCATTCTTCTCTACTGCGCGCAGTGTACTGCCTCAGACAGAGAGTAACAGATAGCGCACTTTATTTGGTCTGACAATCGGAGTGACGATCTACCTCGAGTGGCGATCTTCCTTATTTTATCATCTACCTTGCCTTCAACCACCAACCTCTCCATGCCTTCCATTCTTCTGGTAATGTGTCAAAAGTACCTCAATATATTTTGGTTGATGATTGCGGTAAGCCTTATATTGATGTAGTAAACTTAGATGTTTTAACATTGATCTTAGTAAAGTAGTTTCGTTAAATTGGAAGAAATATTGTTTTAATTGTGAACCAACACTAGCACAATACACTAGACTGCAGAGATTACGATGGGCAGGGCATGTGGCCCGCATGCATGAGAACAGAATCCCCAGAAAATTACTAAACGCAAGAATGCAAGGAAAAAGACCTGTTGGAAGACCAAAAAAGAGATGGGAAGACGAGGTAGATGAGGATGCCAAAAATCTCCTAAAAACGCGTTTATGGAAAATAACAGCAGTAAATAGAGATGTTTGGAGAGGTTTAATGAAGGAGGCCAAGGCCCGGCTTGGGCTGTAGTGCCATTGGATGGATGGATTGTTTTAATTGCAGTAAAGTGTATCTATTCTGATAATAGCTATAATTTGATACTTCTCCTGTAGATTTATGTATACCTATGATATTTTTGGAGAAATTAAACAAAATAGGAAGCAGTAGGAAGAAACTACTTACCTCCTTGTGAAGCTTTGTAGTTATCATTATAATTATGATAAGCCTTTGCGTGAGCTAGAAGCACGTTCCTGGCACAAACGTATTCTCCAACGCCGCTGGAAAACAACACCGGGTGCGAAGTATCCATCTCCGTATCCAGCGTGGCATACTTGTTTGGGCTCGTTGATGGTGATCCACCACGTGACGTCGTCACCGAAGAGCTTGAAGGAAACATCAGCGAAGGCGGCGAATAGATCGACAACAGTTTCGTTGAGCCAACCGCCGAAGTCGTCCTGGAGTTGTTGGGGCAAGTCCCAGTGGTAAAGGGTAGCCATTACTTGGATTCCTAAACAAATAAAATCGTTGTTAAATAAATACATATATTTTTATACAATTTGCAGTTTATTAGCACTCTACAGAAACAGCACTGGAAAACTTTGACTTGTGTGGCAGAAATAAATGTGGCGAATTACTGTTAAGGTTCATGCTGCAACATAAACTATTCCAAATGAACAGTTTTTTTGACTATAATTTTGTTTTAAATACCTACAAAATAAGTTCATCATTTTCATGGAATATATAGTGATTAGGTATGTTGTATTCCAGCAATATACCTAAGCAAATGGAAGTAATGACAATTAAATTCCAGATGAGACAAGAAGAGATAAGGATCACCTATGTGAGGCCAATAAACATACTATATGACGATGACCTAAATGTGTTCCTTAACACAGAAGAACAATCCATAATCATAGGAGACCTAAACGCCAGATCCCCAAATTGGAATGATGAGTTACAACAGAAACTGGAAATTGGAAAGCTACGTAGAAAATCGATGTCAAAGAGTGCTGCTAGAAAGGAAATTAAGTAGAGCAAAAAGCATTAATTTTGGTATACCACAAAGTACTGTATTAGGACCCATATTATTTCTCGAGCCCTTCGAGATGTAGTGGTAAGACGAATCTTAAAAATTTCATTTGTGGATCGTGTGACTACTGTTAAGGTCCTACGTAGAATGGACAAGGAATTCGAGATAAATAACACAATTAAAAAGGGGACCAGGGAGAAGGAAGAAAAATAGGTTGGCTTCAAAATCTCAAATACGTCTACAACCGGATTATTTCGAGTAGCTGCAAGCAAAGTTAGGATAGCCAAACTGATCGTTCAACATCCGGAACGAATAGGCAACTAAGAAGAAGTAGTATATATATATAGTCCAAGATTCCTAAGAGGAACATAGGGCTTTCACAAAGTGTCTCCAGCGAACTGTATTTCTGGCTAGTGCTTTGATTTCAATCCAGGATTTTCCCATTTTTCTCCCTTCGTCCAGTACTGTCCTTCTCCAAGTTCCTTTTCTTGGTTGCTTTGGTTCCATAAATTTTCATTGGAGATTCGGTTAGGCCAAAATATACGAAGGATTTTTCGTAACGCTCTATTGATGAAAACTTGTAATTGGTGTACTATGGGTGCTAATATCTTCCACGTTTCGCAGCCATACAGTAATACAGCTTTTACATTTGTGTTGAAGATTTTTAATTTCGTTTTAGTTGGTAAATCCGGATTCCATTATTGTTAAGCATGTTGTAGGCGTTGCGAGCCTTATTTATTCTTTCATGTACATCTTTCATGTACATCACGCTCTGTACCCAATTACAGTCAATTAGCTGCCAGATATACAAATCAATACTCTCAATTTCTGGTCGTTGACATAATAGGTTGGTTGTTTGGTACCAAATCGCATTTCTTTGGTTTTGTGATGTTAAGAAGAAGTAGTAGATGGTATAAATAAATATGGCGAATTACTGTTCAAGTTAAGGTTCATCCTGCAACATGAACTATTCCAAATGAACAGTTTTTTCAAAAAGAAGTGATAATGGAAAAACTGAAAACGAAATAGATTTTATTATCACAGACAAAAAACACACCGTTAAAGACATCATTGTTCTCAACAGATTTGTTATCAATAGCGATCATAGAATGATACGAGGTAAAATAGAAATAAGCTTAAGAAGGAGATGTATAAGATGATTAAGAAGAAGAACAAATCAAAACCATGGATGAAACCATCAGATGTGGTTAGTTTTCAGCAATATATTTCCGACATACTTAGTAGTCCTGAATCAGAAAATAATATAAACAACTTAAATAATAAATTAACAAATGCCTTACTGGAAAGTCAAAGCAAATTCTGTCCTAGAACTCAAAAAGAAGAGAAGATTAGCCAAAATACCAGACAACTAATGCAGAAAAGAAGAAAAATGAGAAACGAGATGAAAACTAAAGCCAACGAACTACAAAAATTAAATAAAGAAATATCCAAAGCTGTTAGACAACACACTCGAAAATACAATCAAGAACAAATCGAACATACCATTGAGAACAATAAAAGTATTAAAGTATTGAGAAAAATAATGAGAACGGGGACAAGGCAGATAATAAAGATTAAAGATAGAAATGGTCATCTTACAACCAACAGAGAGGAAACCCTTAAAATAGTTGAAGACTTTTACAAATTGCTGTACACAAATAACACAAAGCAAATAGCAGAAAAATCAAGTACGAGCAATATTAACAAGGAAAAAGGTCATTGTCAACAAAGGATCAGAACTTTTACTAGAAATCACAATAGACGAAATAAAACTAGCCCTAAGAAAAGCTAATAATAACAAATCTCCAGTAGTTACTGATGAATTCAAAATCGGAGGCACTTGCCTACTTAAGAACATAAAAAACCTTTTTAACATGTGCCTTTTGGACAGTAATATACCCGAGAAATGGCACAATGCTGAGGTAATTCAATTGTACAAAAAAGGAGATCCCCATGAATTAGAAAACTACAGACCTATAAGTTTTCTTAGTCACCTATACAAACTCCTTACAAGAATAGTAACGAATCGAATAGAAACGATCATATCAAAATCGACAGAAGAGTCCGACATGGTGATACCTTATCGCCTAAACTGTTTACCGCAGTACTAGAATATATGCTTGTAAAAAACTTAAGTGGGAAGAGAAAGTCCTGACATTGGCGGTAGAAGATTAACAAATTTGAAATTCGCAGACGACATAGTTTTCTTCACAGACTTGAGACGAAGAACAGGAATTACCGATGTAATTTCCCGAATTGCCACACTGAAATGGATCTGGACCGGACACTTCAGTGATGAAAGGTGGACAAAAAGATTGCTTGAGTGGAGGGCCGAGATTAGACAAAAGAAGTAGAGGAAGAACTCATACTCGTTGGACTGACGATCTCAAAAAAATGTCAAGAAATTGGATGAAAAGTGCTCAAGATAGATCACAATGGACAAAAATGAGAAGAGGTCTATGTTCAGCAGTGGACGCAAAGGCCTAGATGATGATGATGATGAATTTACAGTTTATTATGAATTTAAAAAAAATCCACAACAGATGCTCAAGAGACCCGCAGTACCTACTGTACTACAATATCAATAGTAAATGTGAACATTTACAAATAATATTTGGTTTTTAAAATATTGAAGTAGAATTAGTTATTGAGAGAGCTAGTTATTGAAGCAAAAACACACCCGACATTATATTTACACGACATATTTAATTATACAATAATGTATGTGTAGGTATCTGTACATATAAATATGACAATAGTAAAAATTTTAAAATATCGCATTGCTTTTTGCTGAGAATTTATTACTTTATAAATTCATCTACTACAAAAACCAAAAATGTACAGACCAATCCTTCCAAATGCTCACGTCCAATAAATACATACTGGTGAATCACAAGGTAGTACCTTTTACAAATTGTGCCAAATCAAATCTAAAACTAAAAAGTAAGTACTTAAAAATCAATTAGTAACAAACCAGTTCCGCCTTCTGTACACTAACGAATTAAAATATCAGTACGGTACTCCTGGTGGGATGATACTATTAGTACCGCCCTTATTATCGATTCCTTCTATTATTACTAAGTTAGCAATCTAGAAGTGATATGGATTTGATGAATTTTAAACAACTAATGATCCAGAATTTTATTGTTTAGTTATGTATAATGTGTCTATTGTATGTAGTACGTGAGTCTTAAGTATATATTTTAATTTGTGTTTTTGTGTAGTTTTGTCGCTTGTATAACCCTATCCCAGCAGTTCTTCTTTGTTCTTAACTCCGATCGATTGTTGGTGTTTCTGTATTACAATTTAGATGGAAGAAAGCTTTTCTCGCATAAAAAAAAACAGTTGAAAAAATCTCCGTAAAGTACCTCACTGTTTTGACTAACTTTCCATTGGTTTTTGTCTGAAAATGTAGAAACGAATCCCTTAACAGGTTTTACCAAAAAATATGCCATTAGTTAGATAAATTTCTTCTGATCACATTTTGCTTGCAAATATTCAAACAAACTGTATGATCGTTTAAAATAATTTACCGAAAATATCCTGACAACCTAGAAAACCTAAGAAACGGTATTTTTCCTTTTCAATATTTTCTATAAAAAGAAATACCTTTTCATTTTTATTGGATTGTGAGGTTATAAAGCACATCAAAACAAGAAAGCTGGAATATTTAGGCCACATTACCAGAGGTGCGAAATATGAGATATTAAGGCTCATAATGCAAGGTAAAACTAAGGATAAAAGGTCCATAGGAAGATGAAGAATTTCCTGGCTAACAAACCTAACAAAATGGTATAGTTGCAGCTCAGTAGATCTTTTCAGAGCAGCCGCCATAGGGAGAAAGAACTACAAGAAGTAGATTGAAGATCAGAGGTTGTTTACACTGCACTTTCCGGAGAACCAGATATTTTGTTATATGATTCGAAGACTAAATAAACAATAAACAAATTGAGCTTCATTTCCTGAACGTATAACAACATATTGGCTTAATATTAGAAACAGTTCAGTTTTACTATGCCTATTCATGTAAATGTTCCTCTTGGTATGATCAAATCTCCAACACATCGACACGTCATCTAAAAGAACTCCCGAAACATTCACACATCCTTTCCTTATACAGCAAGCTTATAAAAATATAATACCAACATACCCAACAACCCATCAAATCTTCACTGATGCTTCCAAATGTGATGAAGGACATGCTGCAGCCTACATCTAACGAAAACGTCAAGTCTACCATACGAATCCCAACAAATTGTTTGTAATATATACCGGAGAACTTACGGCAATTCACCAGGCTATGAAAAAATGTGGTTTCTATTCAATGAAAGCAAATTTGTGTATCATCACCGATTCAATGAGCGCATTACTTGGAATAAAACAGCTATATACAACTCACGCCATACTACTCAGATCAAAGAAGAGTTATCTTAATCTATCAGAGTCAACCAAAAGATATTTTCTTCATCTGGGTACCTTCCCAATGGGATATTAGTGGTAATGAGGAAGTGGACTCTCTGGCAAGCAATGCAACCACTGACCAAAGTATTCCTATCATAAATCAAATGCCTTGGACTGATCACAAAGTTAATATCAAAGCCCACATGTACAGAGCGTGGCAAACTACTTGGGATCATACTGCCAACAAACTAAAGAATGTCTAAGTCAAGTAGGAACCAAACACTCATCTTACCAAATAGTAGAAAAGACCAAGTCATTATCAACAGACCTCCGAATAGGACATACTTTCCTTACCCACAAGCAATATCTTCAACCAGGAGGCCTGCTCCGATGTGTACCAAGTGCATACCTCAGTTACTCAGTGAAACTGAGTGACAATTTAAAAAGTGTACCTAACGTCAAATTTAACAGGCTTTATTAAGTTTTCTTAAAATGGCTAAACTATATACGAAAATGTAAAAATATTTTTTTTTATGTAACAATATGTCTCTTACTGTTTGTGTATGTTCCCCTGCTAATTACCCTTAGAGGTTGATGCGGGTATATTTGTTTAAATAAAAAAAATGAGCATCACTATAAACACTTATGATTGGGGCAAACATAATAAAAGAAGCATAAACTTATAAATACTTGGGAGTAAAGTGTAGATCTGCTGGGGGAAGCAATAATTAAATAAACTCGAGCTTAGGAGAAAGAAACAGGTGCTGTGGAACAAAAAGATAACTAGAAACAACAAAATAAAAACAAACACAACGAAACGATTGTTGAAGGCATTTAATGGTACAGATCAGAACTGTCAGGGATATATAAAAGACTGGAGACAGACGAACAGGGATAGAGTGAGGAATGCAAACATCTTAGCAAACATTGGGATCGATACAGATATTATCGAAACAATTGAGTCTAAGTCACTAAATCGGTTCGAACATTTACAGCGAATAAGCAGAGAAAGATGGCCAAAGAAGGTTTGTGAATAGACGCCACTAAAAATAAGAAAACGAAAAAGACCGAAAGACTTCTGGAAAAGAGATATCCATGAATTAATGGTAAGCAGAGGCGTAACACAAGATTGTTTGGATAAAAGACGCTGAAAGCTAGACGAGATAGGCAATGCCAGTTGTCAAATAAATCACATAAAAAACAGAGGATTATCTACAGAGACTGCATAAATTTTATCAGATAAGTAGAGAATTGAACATTCTTGAACATATATGTACATCCAGAAAAATGTGCATCATTAAAGTAAGAGGTCCTATAAAATGCAAACCATTGTACTAATGCGACAGAACTATGAAATAAATAGATGATTCTCTACAAGATCAAAAAGCAAATATTAACTAAAAGCAGCAACTATGTCAGAATGTATAAGATATGTAATTTTTTTTTTTTATTTACAAATTGCTTCAACCACTAGGGGTTATTAGCATGGTACAATAAATTACATAAATGTTAATATGTTACTCTATATTTTGTGAAATAGTCCTGTATTTTGTAAAAAGTTTATAGTTTTATCATTATTGAAGCCGTTTAAGCACTCTTGGATGAAGTGGGTAATCCAGCTTGAAGTCGTTCTAGGGTGTACAAAGGGCAGTCCACTAGCACATGGTCCACTGAAATTACACAATCACAACTGTAGCACATGGAAATTTGTTCATTACTTAGAAGGTAATCGTGAGTTAACTTCGTATGGCCTATACGTAATCTAGAGATGCACACTTGGTCTCGTCGCTTGAATGGGAATTTGTATATAGCTACCTCTTGCTTAATGTTTTTCATGGATGTCTCTGAATTGTTCCAGTGTAGTTGCCATTCTTCGCTTATTTTGTTTCTAATATATTGCTTCAGGTCGCTATGAAACGCATTTAGTGAATAATGTTGATTGTGGATTTTCTGCTGCTTCCCTGGCCAACTGATCAGCTTTTTCGTTTCCAGTTATACCACAGTGTGACGGAACCCAAAGGAATTTTAACAAATCGGTCGTTTTCTTGACATCTCATTAGTTCTGACTTTATAAGCAATAGAATGGGATGGTTTGTGTATAACTGTTTCATAGAGCTGAGAGCACTTAAAGAGTCAGTTATTATCAAAGGGTTTTTTATGATTTTATTATTCACAAATGTTATTGCTTGCAAAATAGCAAGAAGTTAGTACATTAGTAATTTAAATTCTTCTAGACGGGTGTAAAACCCGTTCAGATTCCACTGAATTATGGAGTTGAATTTTTAATTAATAGCCGTATCGCTGCAATCTGTAGAGAAATAGTCATCCAGTAGTTTACAAAGTTTCTTCCTTAGTCTTGTACATCGTGTTTTCAAGTATCTTTGTGATAGCACTGGATGAAGTTTTTTTAGGAGATCTATTAACCCTTCGATATCTTCCGTGTATGTTTTAGCTATACTAAGCGGATCTGCGCTCCATGGGTGTTTTCAAACAAATCTATTATCTCTTCTTGACTTAAAAAAGATACTGTTTGACTTATTTTGAAAAAAATCAACTGTACAGTTAGTAATATCTTCAGCTATGTTGTGGTGGGTTTGGACATCAGGTTCAGAAGCATTTGTTTCGGGTATATTGTACTTTTGTTTGAGTTTCTATTAGAGTTTCATTTATTTTACCCGATACTGCCTCCATTGGTTGGGAGTTATCGAAAAAGGTGGAGTTTATTGGTGTGGGTGACAACGTTTTAAAACTGTTGAATATAACTTTGGTGCAGTATTATCATTTTTGGGAATTCTTGTTGTGAAAAAACATTTGATGATGAAGCTTGTTGCATGTTGATCTTCGGAACCTGAGTACGGTCCTGGCACCAATACGAAATCATTGATATAAACTCGAATGTAATTAGATAAATTAAATTACTTATAGTTAATGTCATCAGTATCAACAATAAATAATTATTTGTTAATAATTTACACTTTATTACACTTTTAGCTTTCAATGTTTTTAAACAAAACCACAAAAACTAGGTGCGATTAAGGTAATTAGGTGTTGCTTCGTTGAACGCTCGAAGTCGAATAAGATATGTAATTTGGACTAAAGGATTAGCTGAAGAATCAGATTTAAAAAACTAAAATGTTTTGTTAAACCGAAAATGCTGACACGAAATGCGAAAAAAAAAAATGAAAAAGACTTCCATCTATTGCGTAAATACATTACAACAGTCGTAAGCTTCGGTGATTTCGACAATAAAGCTTGACAAAGGTATGGCAGACAAAAAAAGATAAATAGAAGCAGAGGCGATTCTTGTACGAAATATTTTTCGTAACAGACGCAAAAACTACTGGAAAAAAATCATAACATCTGGTTTATTGTAACGTGAGTCCTTATGAAGCAAATAATTCGTAAAAAGATTAGCAGACATGCTTTTAAGGCTATTGGTAACAGCACTATTTTTCTAAGCTTAATTAAAAAAGGATATTCCATTAAATATAATAATTATATATGCTAGACATCCTTACCATTCTGTTTGCATTCGGCCAATAAGTTTTTGTAGTATTGTACACCAGCTGCATTAGGTTCCGCAGTTGGGTATCCTGTTGGGTAGATTCTAGCCCACGAAATGGATAACGATAAACATCAAGACCCATCTCCTTGATTAGACGTACATCTTCTTTGTACTAAAAATAAGTCACATATACTCCGTTTTAAACATCGATTTAATTAAACCTACTTTGTGATATGAATCAGCAGCTACAGCAGGTGTAGATCTATCGGAAATCATCTCTGGACGAACCTTAGCCCAATTATCCCAAATGTGTTCTCCTTTGCCGTCCTCCTCCCAGGCACCTTCGATTTGAGCTGCGGCATTGGCTACTCCAAGTTTGAAACTGGCGGGGAAACGTCTTGGGTTGGTGTCAGCGTTTTGGGCAACGCTAGAAAACCAATAATATATATTATTATTTAAGCAGATGATATAGAAGTATTCGTATATAAGTTGTTACGTTTCAAACAACCAATTGAACGTGACACCAAGCTTCCGATTGGTACTTCGTCCTCCGTACTATATTATTCCAAAGCGACCTCACTAAATTATAAATATTTTTAGTAGCCGTTCCACTCTATATAAGCCAATACGAATTTTTATTCGCTCTCTTCAATCTTATCACTACAATCATTCTTAATGAATTAAGTCACACAAATTGGTTATGTCTTGGCCTGTATACACGGGTAAGTATCTTTTTCTAGTTTTAGGCCTCTGTTTTTTAATTTGTTTTCTTTTGCATAGCAGATATTTTCTTTCTTAAAATAAAGCTGAAAACATTTTAACTTTATTTTTTTTACTGTATATATGTACCTATATTACCTTATTTCCTTTAATATCTTATTAATAAAAATCTTTTCCTACAAATTATTTTTATTAATGCCACGCTGTGATCAGAGATTTTGCTGAGATCGTTTCTCTCTGAATACTCAGCTTTATTTCTGATCAGGCTTTCTTTGGAGAAACTGATCTTTGTATGAATTTTCTAGCCACTACCGTGAGGAGCAAGAAATAGACAACCACACTACCGTGGAGAGCAAGAAATCAGCCAACCACAATACCTTGGGCAACAATCAGCAACCACCTACAATCCACTGATGCATCAGAACAGAATTTGAAACCCATTTACCAACATGGGACGAAAATGATCGCCATTATATAGACCAGCAACTCGCTTTAACTCAACCAACAACCAGCGACACGGCTAACTTCCACAAAGATCGGAACTCTTCCTGAAGAACTGAACGACACATTCAGAAGGAACTAAAGCTGAGTACTTTTTTATGCTTTAGTTATTTTATACGGCAACCGGCATAATCTTTGAGTCTCAGTTTAATTTATTTTTGTTTCCATACATAATTTGAATTCTGTTTATTTTTTATTTAATAACTAAATATACCTTTATTATAACTTTATAAGTTTTTTTATTTCCTGTACTTTTCTGGGATTGGTGTAGAGAGAGAATGAACAGGGAACGAACCCAGAGCTGAGCAGTGAGCAACCATTCTGATGGATGGAATGGTGGTGTTTTTCTCTTGAATATCCTTAGTATATTCAAAGAATCTCTCCCCTCGTTCTTCCAGCAGTATGGTGTTGCTTAACGCCCTGGTCTTAATAAGAATAAGCCGTTACAAAGTGAAATAAAATCGTAACAAATAAAATTTTTTGGTACTAAATGTAAGTCTTTCCATGAATGATTCAAGTCTTACTAAAGCAGACTCTTCTAGCTTTTCGAAAAGAGGTGGAAAAATTCCCAAGTAAGTTCAAAAAACAACCTTCACTTGGTACTTCTGAAATATAAGAAACCCTACTTTTTTTACCTCTAAAAAAATTATATAAATATATGACCCAACTAGAAATCCGATATCGAAACTCGGGTGGGAACTTATGTCGGCAATTTTCCATCCTAAAAGAGGGTTTGGCGTTGGATTATAACTACCCAACCCTTTAAAAAAACCTTTTGGTATGAGAGCTACAAAGAAAGAAACCGAACTGTTTAACCTACGATGAACTCGCAAACAAGATAAGGATAATGATTTAAAAAATTTGCACGTGGAATGTAACAGGTCTTTATCAGCCTGAAGCCTGAATAAACTCAAAGCAGATATTATTGATTTATAGAAAATGAGGTGGAATAGCTCAGGCATCCTGGAAAAAAAATAATTACAATATTAACTACAGTGGATATCCTATCCGACATGAATTTGGTACCGGGTTTATTGTAAGCAACAAGGTCAAACATAGTGTAATTGGGCCCTAAATGAAAATGGGCTATGGCGTCGAAAATTCAACTTTGAACAATATCAGTTATACACCGATGCAGATATTGTGACATTCGTTAAAGTGCAGAGACTTAGTTGGGCTGGACACATTGCTAGGATGTCAGATCACGAATACACGTAGAGATTAACATTTTCAAAACATGAGGGCACAAGAAGTAGAGGACGACCACGAAGGAGATGGATTGATGATGTGGAAGAAGACCTACATATTCTAAAGGTCAGAAGATCGGGGAAGTTGCCAGGAATTGACAGGAATGGCGACTTATTTGTAAGTAGGCCAAGATCCACAATGGATTGTCGAGCCACTTATGATGATGATGATGAATCTCTGCTTTGGCTCAATATCATTAAAATGGTACACTAGTATAGTAAAACAAACACCAAGACATATGATAGAAAATAAAATAGGCAAAAACTAAACTGTTTTAATGAAAGAAACAAGACAAAATACATCTAAATAAAACACACAGAATAGATGCAGACGAGTTAGTTCTTTTAAAATTTTAGAACATAATATTTACCAAAAACTAAAAAGAGACTGATAGAGATTTAAACGAAAAAAAAAGAAATGGAAGGATTTCTGGAACGACCAAAATGTGTAAGTCGTATGGATTCACGTGAGGTAGAGAAAATTACAGATCCTGACAGATCCATCGAGGAACTACGTTTATGATTAATTAAAATAATCAAATTTATAGTAAAAATGATGCAACAATGCAGCAAAAATCACGTAAACAATGATTAGCCAAAAACCGTGTTACTTACCAAACGCCTACTAGCAACGCAAATATAAACGCCTTCATTGCGGTGAACTCACTTAATTTTCACTAGTTTTGCAAGTTTATATAGAAATTTGGTATTGTTTATTAGAAATTACTAAGCATTTTATCTTGAGAGGGCTATTTAGGAGATTATCGTGTTAACAATAAATTATTATTTTGAAGGGTTCTGTTTATAATATTGACCTAGAAAAATCTTAAGTACAAAGGAACCTATCTAAAATTTATTAAAACAGCTAACAAAATTTACTAATCAGAATCAGAAACTTGGTGAATAATAAACGATCTTCGAAATAAAACTAACACAGCTCAAATATTTTCTGTTGCAAACCCTGAAAATCTAAATGAATAAGTACTTCGTTAATGTGGAGTAAAAAATATAACATCAACTATTCTGTCACAATAAGATCCTATTTTCTATCTTCCCAATTCAAAAAAGGTCTCGAATTCATTCTTTATAAGACCATTTGATAAATTTGAACTAATCACAAACAATCAGTAGTATCAAAAGCAAATCTTCCTGTAGTACTGACGTCCATACTAATCCATACTATCCATAAAAATTTTCTTAAATCTCTAAAAAAATGTGTTGGAAGTCCTGGTCTCACTAATTAACGATTCCTTCAAAAAAAGGTACATTTCCAGAGTGCCTAGAGACAGCCATTATTATTCCTCTTCATTAGGGTGGTAAAAAATCTAATGCCTGCAACTATAGACCTATTGCCTTGTAGCATTTGCAATTCATTGATTTTTTTGGTGTATATTGAAATCCCTCATAAATGTTCGAAAAATCTTTTAATGTACCTTTCGTTCGTATATTCATGTGAAACCCAATAATATTTCGTTCTTTTCAGCGTCGCCAAGTAATAAAAACCATTTTAGAGTTGTTTATTATTTTAAAGTTGTGTACTTCTCGGCATTTTCTTTTAATGTTTTATTCGAAGTCGCCTTATAATTTTTATACGTCGTGAAAATGGAATCTTTTACGTTTTAATTTTCGTTGTGTTTTGTTATTTCAGCGTTTGTTTATTTTCAAGTTAAGTGAACGAATTCTTAAGAGAATTTCGTCATTCTTACTTGGGTCGAGGTAGGCTCAGGTCACCGACTCAGTATGGATCCAAATTCACCTTCGAATTTGTAGTTTCCGTTTTTGGCCCTCTTTGTGGAATTATGTAGCAGTGGAAAGTAAATTGTGAAGTATGTCTAGTTACAGAGGAGGTTAAAAAAGTATTTAAGAGATTTGTGTCGCCTGCAGCAATTCTGATGTTCCAGTTGAAGTGCTTCTTCAATCTCGCTGTTCCTGCTTTGAAGCAGTTTGTTTAGTTCCAGTTAGTTGCAGTTATGGTTCCAGAACATTCAAAGTGTGATTTGGTGAATTAAGGTAACTTTTGTTTCAAATTTTGAAGTAAAGACAGACTTTTTTTTTAAATAATAATTGCTTTCTTTAAAATTTAAAAGTAGTAATGTTAAATATTGTAAATTTTGGGTTTTGAGTTTAACTGTCAATTTAATTGTTCGTAGATTTAAACTTTAATGTTAACATAAGACAGCTCGCTTTATTATTTTGATTTTATTTGTTTTGTTTTAAAAAAAAGGTTAACCTCCATTCAATTTTGTAAGTTTTGTAGCAACAGAGTTTGTAAACGGCTAGGACACATTTAAGTTTTTTTTGTTATTCTTGTTCTCTGTAACTATTGATCTATTTGTAAATTTGTGCCATTATTTTTATAACTGTTTGTGGTAAGACACAATAAATGTTAAATTTTGTTTTCTTAACATTTTGTTTATTTTTTTAACTAACTCCTTCTTTTAGTTTTATTTGAAAAAGATATGTTTTTGATGTTTTATAATTATTTCCCTAGTTACAACTAGTGGTTGTAATAGGTATAATTAGGCACCTCAAGTGGCGCCCTATATTAAATTACTAGAGGTGTTTCCTGTTTCTTTTTGCTTTGTTTGTTCCAAGAGATTCATGACCTTTTGTTTCATATTTTTGTAGTTGCCCCATTCCACACCCCTTATCTTTTACTTATCCACGACCCCAGCTCTCCTAACAAACCCTGAGTGCCGTTCGCACAAGTAGCGATTATTTTGCTTGTCTGATCTCCACCCCCTTAGTTTCAGTCCCCATATTTTCTATCCCTTAGTTAGAGCAAATGGATACTGACCCTAGTCACAAAGCAGTATAATGTGGAGTACCGCAAGGTTCAGTACTGGGTACTCTATTTTTGCTTATCTTTATAAATGACATCACTAACTTAAAAATCGATGGAAAATTTTTTCTTTTTGCTGATACAAGTATTATCTGGAGGAAGTGTAATCTTGAAACTCTTCATGCAATTATAACTTCTGATATATTTACAATAAAAATCTGGTTCAACTCTAATTTAACTCTCTTTTAACGTGGATAGGACAGTAGCATTATCCTATAAAAGAACTCTTCAACCCTTGCTTTTTAATAACTGCCAGATCAGTATCGTTGGATCTGTAAAATTTCTTGGTATTTTTATAGACAGCAAACTTAAATGGTTCCTACAAATCGATTTGTTAAGTAAAAAACTAGCCTCAGTCTGCTATGCAATAAGATCTGTTTCGAAGTACAGTTTAACCTCCATTATCCGTCAGGGCACCGGACCAAGGGTATGACGGATAATCGAAAAGACGGTTAACAGAACATTAAAAAAAATTCATAGTATAACTCTTAAATTTATTTGTATGTTTTATTTGACAATATAAGAGGGATTTATGTTAGTACACTCGAATCAATTTGATTTAAATTATTCCGAAATCTGTGTTTGTTTTATTGTTCTTGCCGAGAATATAACTTGATGAATTGTTGTATGTGCGATGCAGCTCCTCTAGCTTATGTACGCAAATCTTTGTGAGTTGTAATAGCATCATCAACATCGCCACCATCAAAGTTTCTGTCAACTTCTGAATCAGTTTTATCCGCCTCTGTTACCATTTCAACGATTTCATCATCTGTCAACAATCGATAGCCGTTTGCGTCTTCATCACAAATTAACCATTCGTTTATGTCATCTTTAGGCAACGAAAACAAAACAAATCATTTAAGGGTGGCATTTTCATCTTAAGTTGATTCAGGCCATAATTTATTCCACGCGCTTTTCAGCGTTACTTCCGAAACATCAGCCCAAGTATCCACAGCATTGTCGACTACGTGTTTTAAATTGTATGCTTTCCAGTATTCTGGAAAAGAATATTACTCTTCCATAACTAGGTTTGGAATAATTTTTTTCTGTATCTACTTTTGAATGTTTTAATGACCGACTGATCCATTGGCTGTATCAAATGATGTTGTATTCGCAGGCAGAATAGTACGTGATATTTTTATCGTCACTCCGCAGCATACCGGCTTTAGGATGGGCAGGTGGATTATCCAAAATGAGAATCTTCTTTGGTGGACAATTTTTTGCAAACAAAATGAATTGATAACTAAATTTTTCCTTATGTTGTCAATATAACTTATGCATGTGTGGACCCTGACGGTTAACAGAGATGACGGTTAATAGAGAGACGGATAATCGAGGTTTCATTGTAAATCAATTCAAAATCTTCCAAAATAACATATTTTTCTTTGTTCGAGTCTCATCTTCGATGTGGTCTTGCTTTTTGGGGTTCTAGTACAGATTGTCCAATCTGATGTTTTTTTTTAATTACAACAGAGAACAATATTGTGTCTTTTTGGCCTCAGTAGAATAACACATGCAGAACCTACTTCAAAAATCACGGGATTTTAACTCTTCCCTCTTTATATATTTAGAAACTGTTTGCTTAATTCGTAAACACCTACATGTTTTTCCAGCAAGACCTAATCATGACTACTCCACCAGAAATTCAAGCTTTGATGTGTATTTACCGATCCCGTCCACTGAGTTAGTAAAGAAATCTATATTATATTCGGCAAAAAAATTATACAACCATTCCTTTGCAACTTAAATCTGGAACTTCTTTCCTTAAGTGCCATACATTGATAAAAGTCTATCTATTTGAAAGACCATATATTCAGTGGCAGAGTTTTTTAACGAATAACTAAGAAATGTTTGTGCGTCTAGATACTAGTTCGTAAGGATTTATTATGCAATTTGCAATTTAGTTAAATTTTGCAATGGATTGTATTTTTTTTGACTTTTTGTAAGCTTTGTCCATAAAATTGTACAATTATCAGTGACAATAAAGCAATATTTCTATTTTATTCTATTCTATTCTATTGCTATTGAGGTATTCAAACATACTTAGGACTGTGTGTGTTTAAAAAAAACACATCATTGTAGTCAATAATTAAAATCATCGTGATGTATTCCCCAAAAACATAAAATCTTTCATATTAGCTTTAAAAGCCTTATGAGTAAAAATAATTCTTTATCCACGCGCGTTGCTGATAATCAAAATATTTAACGAATATAATTCATTGATCATTTAATGATAACAATCACCTGGTAATTATTTTGATATTTTTATAATCCCCCTAATTCTTTAAACCAGCCACTTGTACTTTAGTCTTTGGACATAGTTGTCATATCAGAAATAAATCGATAAAAAGTATTATAATAAATATTTTGGATCTTCTCATACACGATAAATTATATTAGCAAAATTGAAGTAGCTAAATATGAACGTAATACGAAAGTTTAGCATCACTTTCACGATTTTAAAACTTTCATAGCTTTTTGTAAATTCAGTCGAGCTCTCTATGGGATCTTTCACTCACACCCTTGGCCATAGAACAGCCATAGTTAAGCTGGCACACCTAATAAATACTACTTTTAGATTGAGCTATATTCCGAGACTCTGGAAAGTAGCCGAAGTGATTATGATCGCCAAACCAGGTAAACCTCTTAATGTAGTGACATTCTATCGACCAATATTACTCCTTCCGGTGATGTCAAAACTATTTGAAAAACTTCTATTGAAAAGATTAAAACCAATAACAGAAAGAAAAAATCTTATCCAAAATCATCAATTTGGTTTCAGTAATCAACATTCCACTATAGATCAAGTTCACAGAATAACGAATATAATAGAAAAAACATTAGA